GTGTCAACTTAATATTCGCACAAATGCGTGCTATTATATATGTAGATGTGACTTGTTGCTCAACTATAACGGCATCAAATTAACAGCTGAATTAAATTGTAGCCACAGTAGGGTTGGACCTTGAATCCTAAAAGGACGAAATGGTATGACATGTAATTAAAATGTTTGTTTTATTTGGATGACTGCATCGAAGAAACTAAATGATTAAATAGGTGATTCCTTACCTGTATAAGTTATTATTTACGAGGCAATGTGGTTGACCAAAAGGCTCAGCGATTGGCCGTCATCTTTAAGTTTGGTCTTGCACTATGTGACAAAGTGTGCAATACGTTAATTTGGAATGTTCTCGGAATATGTGCAGTGCTATTAAGTATATGTAAGGGTTAAGTTCAGGTCAAACATCTAGCCTGGGTAAATTGTATGTCAATCTCGCCTAGGGATGGTCAGTAATTAATGAGAATCAGAAGGAAACATACATTTATGAATATGGAATGACCGGCTCTATATACCAGCGCTTACGTCCTACTGCGTTACAATGGTTCTTTTCCTATTCGACCGTCTACATCTAACTATAATGTTTTAATACGTCCTTCTTAAATTTCTATTCATCGTGATTGTTTTACGTCACAGGGCAGTTGACTCTTAATTGAGTCGCAGAAGTTGTCTGCCACCTTGTTGCTTGAGTTCATACTGGCAAGGTTTACAGAAATATCAGTTTAAAATATAAAAATTGTAACGCTATTAAGAAAACAATAGGCGCTTTTCCATTTCCCTCTAAATTTCTACATATGTTCCGGAATACTGTAGTATAGCCTTTTGTTCTTTGAATTTAATTTATGATAATGAGCCCTAACTTAACGAAATGGTCATATGGTACAGCAAATACTTTGTTTGGCTTTGTGTATCAACTCGATACAATTTTAAATACATGATTCCTTCTTTGTATATCTAGTGATTTATACGGGAAAATATAGGTTTCCAGATAAAATGAACGTTGTGGGAGAAAAAGGTCCCCAAACTCTTGATGGTTGGTTATCATGTTTATCTGTCTAACATTAATTCATTTTTGAATTGTAAATATATTATTTGAGAGTTAACCATCACGCGTCGGGATACCTCTATGTACCACAACGGGTGGAAAGAAGAGTCTCGTATTCCTACAACCCAAACGTACTAGTACGAAAAATGTTTCACAGCGTTCCAGCTTAATAACGTCCCATAGATGTTCCTTTAGGAGGGGAAACATCATACTATTTACATGAAATGGACTCTCTTCCTGGTTCATCATCAATTAGACATTTATGGATATGTTGTGCCGTTACTATTCTTCTCATTCCTTTTCCCGCTTTAACGCTTCCTTTTATATTTCAAAGTTGATGTGAGGGCAGGGAAGTTTGGTCCAGACTCCCCTCCCGCTAGATCCATCCCTGAAAACATCAATACTAACATAATTCCATGTTTTTTTTATAGAATAACAAGCGAGATGTTTAGGAAAAAATTAGTGTCGAATCAGCTTGTCATTTAAAAAAACATTTTCGTCAGAACTGTCACCGGATCTAGGAAGTCAGTGGTTACTACTAGATACAGAAAGTGTATGTCTGATGGTTTTTATCTATGACAATATTTCAAGAGTCGTTGTCGGAGCTAAGTAAACTTGAGTTGACATTGATTTGGAAAGAACTGCGCAGGTTGCAGCTTTTTGTTGGAGTCCACTTCCGTCTTGTATCCAAATGTAAGCAAGATGTTTCCAAGTGAGTATCCAGCCCCTTGTATCTATGTTCTAGATTTTCCAGCATTAATGTATATCTCCACAAGAATAATCACTACATAACTTTAATACCTCATGTTACAGTTCATCTGTAATGAATAGTATCGGTGTAAGTATTTCAATATGTTAATTACACGTCAAACCCAATCTTTATGTCTGAAACAAAATAGAACAGGCATAGATACACGAGCTGGATTTAATTATTTCATAGAAATAAATAGGATTAAAATAGCATTTATACTTTCAATTACAATTTGCCGAAATCAACAAAAACACAACAGTTCAACGACCGAATCAAGTATAGATGTAGTGTTATCACTACAGATTCGTGTGGCTCTCTCACCAGTACGAATGTGTGAAAATTCAATTTTAGTTAATTCCACAAATATGTTTTACATATTGTTCGTATAAGCCCGTAATGATGTATCTCATATTTTCGTTCTTGTCGAGAATCTGGAAAATCTGTGAGTGTATACGTAGTTACATAAGCAAACTGCACATAAAATAGTACTGTAGAAATATATCATCATTGTTTCCGCATATAAACATACATATTAGTCACAATAAAAGGATTCCAGTTAGACACATATTTGTCGTAGATAAAACGTTTGAACGGTTACTCTTTTATACTATTTCATGAATACATATAGATGAGAGACTCCAAAATGTTATTTTTCACCTGAAATTGGGACTATGTTAGAGCCTAGGATAAGAGATTTCCTTTGTCAAAGTAACGTATATAATATATTTGTAAAAATGCTTTATCTTTTGTAGAATTATTTCTTGAACCACGTTGGTATACATAAACGAAAGTCACTAAGCAATGTAATGTGTTGCGTAAAATGTTTTGGCTACAGGTACACTCTATAATAAGCAGCACATTGAGTTTATATAACTAATGAAACCTACTATGGCAGGTTACGGGGTGGGGATCTCAAAAACTTCAAAGTTATGACAAAGAATGAAGTCCCTAGAGGTGGAGCCAGAACCCAAAGTCAATTCTACTATATGGCTGTGTTTATTTCTTTATGCCTATCAAACGTATATATGGTTATGGGGTGGGGATCGCAACTGTTTCAAAGTTATGGCACAGACATTAAGTCCTTAGGGCTGGGCCAGACTCAAGGGTCAATACTAATATCATGATTGAGTCCGTCTGTTAATGCCATGCAATGGTATATGGTTATGGGGAAGGGATTTCAACCATTTCAAAGTTATGACCTAAGAAATCAAGTCCCTAGGGGTGGAACCAGATCCCAGTACCAATGCTAATATATGACTGTGCTTATCTCGTTATGCCTATCAAATATTTATATATGGTTATGGGGTGTGTATCTCAACTATTTCAAATTATGGGCCAGAAATTAAGTCCCTAGGGGTGGAGCCAGACCCAGGAGTCAATACTAATATCATGATTGTATCCATATTTTGATGCCCAGCAATAGTACATATGGATATAGCATTGGGATCTCCACTGTTTCAAAGATATGACAAAGGGACCAAGACATCAAGGGTGGGGCCAGACCCCAGGATCGTTAATCTGAATTACTCCAGTATAAAGTAAAATAGTGATAAATATGAATTCCTCATTCTAATAATGGCAAGGAAATCAGCTTATCAAAAAAAGAAAAAAAAGACTGAAATACAACTCTTCTTTATTATCGGCGAACAGATTAACAAGGTTCATTATGTTTGCAATGTACATTGTGGTACTAAACTAGCATAGAACTAAGAATTACTTCTGTTTTAAATCTCACCGCTGGCAGGGCAGTTATAGTAAGACAAAATAAAGTGTGTATCAAGCCCTGTTAATTAATATGCTTCTAATTGCCTTACTCTTTATAAATTTGCTGCTTTCCTACTTTTGCCCTGACCTTACTGTCCTTGGAAAGGGTTGTCAATCAGTCTGGTGTTAACCTGAAAACTAAACCACCACTGCAGACTAACTCCCTCAATGTGTTTGTATTTTCCTTTGGTAATTACCGAGCCAATGAAGTGAAGTGAATTGAGCTGTACTGACCCGATCTCTCAAGGTTTGTGTCAGTTATGAGTTAATAGCAGAGACTGAATATTTCTTTTTAAAACTATCTGCGTTTTAAATCAGTATAATACAACAGATTAAGCATAGGATTTTTTTTATATAACAAGCTTCTGCTTCCCCCTTCAGCAGACCTTTTTTCATAAAACCCTTCTCATGCTCAAGCATTGATTCTGTGCTCAAACTAACTTTCTTATAACTCGCTTAAATCATGTCAAACGATCAAAAAGTCAATGTAAACATTGGAAACAGTATCTGGCTTTATGTCTCTTAAAAACTTTTCCATATCGTTGACAAAATAACATTTGTTTATTAATTTATAACCAAACAGGAAATTAGGCTTGAGCACAGAATTTGTACTTGAGCATGACAACGATTTCATGAATATGGGCCCTATTTCCAAAAACATCTTTCCCTTGTGAAATGACAAGTTCACTCCACACTTTAACTGTATATTAATGCTTCCATTCCCAATCAAAGGTGACTACATTTCTTTTGTCAATACAAACTATGAAATGAATGTGGTGAATATTACATGTGTGAAAATTTGAGCAAGCATGGAAAATATATAAAAAGGTCATTTATTTTATAGAAGATATTTGATGAAATGACAGGGGAATGCAACAATATTGAAATACTCCCTTGCAACAAAATGAATGACTATTTGCGATATTTAGTTCTGGCTATCTTTAAGTAATTCCTGACATTTTTTGATAAATGCAACTGTTGAGCTAGCTGATGTGGTAGCTTTGTATATTCATTGAAACTCATTAAAAGTCATCTTGCCTTCTGATGCCTACATGTAAATATAAAATATGAATATGGATACAATTGCTTACATACCTTCCTGCAAGTTTTGACTTTTTTCTGCTTTTTGAAAATGTTTACACTTACAGGTTATTGAAACCTGGGTTTATAGGTAGGGTTGGTCAGTGAAAGATTTCAACAAACACAGGAAATGTGATTTTCTGCTTATCAGTAAATAAACTAAATATTTGTCTCTGCCAGAGATTTGTGTTGTTTGTAACAATATTTGCATGGTCTATTGGAAAAAATGGAAAACAACTATAGGCATTATTTTGTACAGTATTTTAACAACTTTGCTGCATTTTTGAAGTCGTATTGTTAACTGCCAATTGATAAAAATCCTAAATTCACAAGAATCACTTGATAAACATTATGATCAAACAACGATTATGTGCAATCATGATTTATTGCAATAAAACATCAATTTCACTATGAAACATTAAATGCATGGTTTGCTTTCAGCAATATATCACACTTTTTACAAAATTTGTAGGGATTTTTCTTCTGATTTTTCAACAATTGGATAGAGAATAAAGCTTGCCTGGCTTGCAACGGTATGATAAGAGGAGTCATACAGGATTTGTAGTAAGCTTAATTGTCTTACACAAACTTTTATATAACAGTAAAACAGCATCATTCCTGAAGTTGTTATAAAAAACTATCATTGCTTGCATGGAGAAGACTGAACCATCTTTAACTTTATTATAATATTACAGTGTGAACTGGACCTTACTGGAACTGATGTACTTAAAAGGTTAATACCAGGTCCAGACACTTATTTGGGATATCAACATTTTAAATGTCTATGTATTTAAGTCAATTTACTTTCAATTACTTTAAAACAGAAACATAAAGAAAACATTCACATTTGCAATAACGGAAAGTGCAAGAATGATGGTAAACAGATAGTATATTTTGCGTCTGGAAAAAATAAAATTACAAAGATATTTTGCTGGGAAAAATAAAGGTCTGAATGAACAATGGGGTTTTACACAGATTTACATAGCAAAACTATTATATCTTCACCAGTTACTATACTCGGGTAGTCAGGATCTGGATAAAACAGGGTTGATAAACTTTACTTAAACAGAGGAAAAGCTGGGACCAAATATCAGAGCCAGTCTAGACAAGAAGTTATATTAGACAGAGGATTATTTAGACAGGTTATACTGTACTTGAAATTGACATTGATGTAACGGTATATATCAGTAAAAAAATATAGCTACAACCATTATAATCAGAACCAATTTTCAATAGATGCAAGGAAGAAATCATGAAAGAATCTTTAACACAAGAACATTTGTTTCAAAAACTTTTAAGAAACTAATAAAACAAAGGTAAAAGAGTTTGCCAGGAAAGGATTACTTGATAAAGCAGTTACAGAACGGTTCCAGATCGATATCTCTTGCACCCATCCATCCACATGTTCACGGTTGTCACTAACATTTTCATATGTCCTCCAAATTCCCTTACAAGTCACTCCACTTGTCCATCACATGAACAGATACACAAACACATCCAATCAGAAATATTGCCACTTGCCTAACACTGTTTCTTTAATAGCCTCCACATATTGTGCGGGCACCCAGTATATCCAATAGCGTGAGGCCTCTGTTGGGCCTAATTGTATTCCCTGTGGAAAGATAAAACTTTATGATAATTTTGTATAAGCATATATTCATCATAAACTTAAATTCAATAGTTTTTTCTATGCTCAAGATCTTGTAGTATGTTAAATTTCTTTTCAACATTTATCATAACCAAATTACCCGAAAAACACTGCAGCAAGTGCCAGTTATAGTTTTTCATAAGAAAATCATTTTGACCCGTACAATGTAGTTTTTAGCTCACCTGGCACGAAGGGCCAAGTGAGCTTATGCCATGGTGCGGCGTCCGCAATCATTATTTTTCTTTAAACAAATTCTTCTTAATAACCAATATTTGGCCAGAAGCAAACTGGGATTAAGGGCTACCAAGTTTGTTTAAATAAATGACTTACACCAATTTTCAAGGTCACAGGGGTCAAATATGTAAAAAAATAAAAAAAAAATAAAAAATTCTTCTGAATAACCAAAATACCCAGGGTGGTGATATTTGGCCAGTACCAAACTGGGATGAAGGCCTACGAAGTTTGTTCAAATGAATGACCTTCACTTATATTCAAGGTCACAGGGGTCAATTGTCTTAAAAAACTCTTATACAACTTCTTCTGAATAACCAAAAGAACCAGTATGGTGATATATTGTCAGTAGCATGCTGGGATGAAGGGCTACCAAGTTTGTTCAAATAAATGACCTTCTCCCATATTCAAGGTCACAGGGGCCAAATATGTTAAAAACTTTAAACAACTTCTTCTGAATAACAAAAATGCCAAGGGTGATGATATTTGACCAGTAGCATGCTGAGATGAAGGGCTACCAAGTTTGTTTAACTAAATGACCTTGACTTATACTTCAGGTCACAGGGGTCAAATATGTTTGACACTTTTAGATGACTTCTGAATAACTAAAAGTCGCAGGATGATGATATTTGGCCCATTACATAACAAGATTGGATGAAGGTCTACCAAGTTTGTTCAAATGAATGACCTTGACATTAATGAAGGTCACAGGGATCAAATATGTTCAAAATCTTTAAACGACTTCTCCTTGATAACCAGAAGGTCCATGGTGTTGATATTTGGGCAGTAGCATGCTAGGATTAGGGCTACCAAGTTTGTTCAAATAAATGACCTTCACTTATTTTCAAGGTCACAGGGGTCAATTGTCTTTAAAAATCTTAAAACAACTTCTTCTGAATAACCAAAATGCCCAAGGTGATGATATTTGGCAAGTAGCATGCTGAGATGAAGGGCTACCAACTTTGTTCAAATGAATGACCTTCACCAATATTCAAGGTCATTTATTTGAACAAATTTGGTAGCCCTTCATCCCAGCATGTTACTGGCCAAATATCATCACCCTATGCCTCTTGGTTATTCAGAAGAAGTTATTTAAAGGTTTTAAACATATTTGACACCAGTGACCTTGAATATGATTCATTTGAACAAACTTGATAGCCCTTCATTCCAGCATGTTACTGGCCCAATATCATTATCATATGCCTCTTGGTTATTCAGAAGAAGTTGTTTAAAAGGATTTAAACATATTTGACCCCTGTGACCTTGAATATAAGCCAAGGTCATTTACTTGAACAAACATGGTAGCCCTTCATCCCAGCATGTTACTGGCAAAATAGCATCACCCTGTGCCTGTTGGTTATTAAGAAGAAGTTATTTAAAGATTTTAACATATTTGACCCCTGTGACCTTGAAAATGGATAAAGGTCATTTATTTGAACAAACTTAGTAGCCTTTCATCCCAGCATGCTTCTGGCCAAATATCATCACCCTAGGCATTTTGGTTACTGAGAAGAAGTTGTTTAAAGTGAAACAAGAGGCCCAATGGGCCTGCATCGCTCATCTGTTATTAATCTAACACTTGTAATCTTAAGATTTCATAAGAACCTATTAAAAGATTTAAACATATGACGCATCTGACCTTGATTGTCGAACAAGGACATTAGGTTGAAAGTGGATCAAGGNTCAAGGTCATTTATTTGAACAAATTTGGTAGCCCTTCATCCCAGCATGTTACTGGCCAAATATCATCACCCTATGCCTCTTGGTTATTCAGAAGAAGTTATTTAAAGGTTTTAAACATATTTGACACCAGTGACCTTGAATATGATTCATTTGAACAAACTTGGTAGCCCTTCATTCCAGCATGTTACTGGCCCAATATCATTATCATATGCCTCTTGGTTATTCAGAAGAAGTTGTTTAAAAGGTTTTAAACATATTTGACCCCTGTGACCTTGAATATAAGCCAAGGTCATTTATTTAAACAAACATGGTAGCCCTTCATCCCAGCATGTTACTGGCCAAATAGCATCACCCTAGGCCTTTTGGTTACTGAGAAGAAGTTGTTTAAAATAAAAAGTTGACGCTGGCCGGACGCCGGACGCCGGACGCCGCACCATGCCATATAAGCTCACTTGGCCCTTTGGGCCAGGTGAGCTAACAATAAAAAGAACGATTTTCTATCTAGTGTGGTTCAAACCCTGCTTACCCACATTTCGGGTAGTTGAAATACAAAATTTGAAAATTGAAATTACGTAATTATTGATAGATTTTTGCTATCAGCGTTGCAATGATAGCCTGGCAAAACTCGCTCTAACCGATTTATTTTCACGGCAGCACTGATAACTAATAACTGGGTAGCGATGATGTGAGTGGAGTGTTAATGATGATGATGAATTTATAAGTGAGTAAGAAAGTATGAAAGTAAATAAACATGACGGAAAAAAGAGAGAGGTGTGAATGGTCATATTTATGAAATTTAAAAAATAAGAATGAGTAAAAACTGAGTGAAAGAGGTATGGCGTACGGAAACCCTCCTACGTTGAGGGTATTCATTGTTCGGGGATTGAACCCAGGGCTCTTCAACCCTCATGATGTGCAACCATCGTAGTCATCTACGACGGACAATTTGTACATACATGATGTGTAAGCGATGATTGAGTTTCTTTCTTGTAAACATGTGCAGGCACCAGTTGAACAATTTTAGGCCCAGACCATGTATAATATCCTATCAGTACTGAGTGTGAAACGTTCCCGTTATATCGCTGACAGACCATGTATAATATCCTATCAGTACTGAGTGTGAAACGTTCCCGTTATATCGCTGACAGACACTAGCGTATTGTTATGATATTACTGTGTTTACAATCTGATTACATAATCGCAACCTGGCCACGGATCTCTGATTTATTACTTAATTGATATATTACCTGTATATGTGCCAGAACAAACAGATTTGACCAGGTGGTCGGTCGAACTATTAATCTGTAACTACAGTTTTAATCAGCCCTGTGCATGCTGATACGTCAACACTCAACAAATCATCTACTGCTTTGCGACCTACATAAACTTGTTCCTGCCTTGCAATTACTTGCAGATTGAACTTAACAATTCATTATTAATATGCAAGTAAATATAAGAAAGACATATGTACCATTATTCATCGCCAGATTTGCACATATATCGCAATAGGCCGACGTCCCGTAGAAACGACTTGACTGCTAGTCGTAATTTTTGCCGATGGCGACACGGATTGTTCGAACTACTTTTTATTTTAGCCGCTATAATTTCGTGTAATTTGAAAAGGATTGACACTATTTATTTGATTTTGTTCTAAATGACCGGAGGTTTACCGTACAAAGCTAATTTTGTTTTTCTCCTAAATCAGCATCATCTAGCTGTGGTAACCATTATAGCATATGGTCTAAAAGATTTATATTTCTGATATTTTGTCATTGGCTAGAGAGCTATCGTATCAAGCCTTTTGAAAACGTGTAATTCTGAGACTTCAAGGAGAGCACCTATGCTAATGCACAGATACAAATCCTATGAAACACAGTGTTATATCATATATCAACATATACCATAGAAAAGTGAAGATATTGGGTTTTGATTAATGAACTCAACCCAGGTCAATGAATAATAACCTTTTGATAGGCTGGATACTGTAGCTCCCTGGCGGATTAAATAAAACACTAAAACATTAATTGATTTGACAATGAGCTACGGTTCCCACAGCTAGGAATAGCTTACAAGTGTAAAGATGCAAAAATGAACAATTAAGAAAAAACAACCTGTTGCTATGAAAGTAAATACTGCAAGAAAGGTAATTTTGTACCATTTTAAAGTTTTTACAAGAAAAATTTCAAATATTCAGAAAAGAGAAGAATAAATTCAAACATCAATTGAAAATGTCTATTTCAAATACAGTTTTTTCAGTTTTTAAAATATTTAAATAAATAAAAATATGCCCCAAAGTAAATAAAATAAATGATTTATTTGCATTCATAATATTTAATCTCGATCCACTGAAACTTAATGGGATCTAATTTAATTCTTAATTAATCAAAAATGTTCTAGACTTTTCAGAGGTTAACAAAGTAAGTTGTATTTGTCATAAAAGTTGATGAAGTACAATTCAACAAATACATGATCTGCTTTAACCAGTTGAGTTCAGTCAGTAATGATTTCTGAAGGACTGTTGTTATAAGGCTACCATGGTGACAAAATCTTACTCACCAGCATATGGTATTCTTCATGACCTGCAATTGCTTCACTCACTATCGCTTTAATAGAACTCATTGGAATTTTGTCCGTTCTCTCTGTAAACATTGAAGTATAAAATTCACTCAATACTTACTATCTTCTGAATAAGTCATCTCGCAGAAGTATTTTTACACATCTATGTACATTCAGAACATTACAAGCTATGGAAGGAACCTAAGAAAGCTCTAAGCTTGTTTTCCCTTCCATCTGATACTGTATCTACTTGTATTTCTAATTGTCTGGCTTATTGAATAAAAGACCATTTACACTAAATTGAAAGTAATTATATCAACAAGTTAACACACAAATACAGACGCTTAAAGTCGCCTCACCTTATGACCATAAAAAGAAGAAACATTTCTAACATAAGTACTTATCACCATATTATTTTTTCTTGATATCCAACACTAATATTTACACCGAAGAGAATGAAATACAACTTGGCAGTGTTAACTGTTTCTATATTCATATCATCGTCACCTCATTGATAACTTCACCTTTTCCATTCATATTCAAATTGCTGACAATAAAGCAGTAGGTTTCAGTGTCACATTTATTTTTATCTACATAAACATCAACATAAACTGTACCTAATTTCTTGCAATTATGTCCAAAAAGAGTCAGTGATTTAGTCAAATATCTAAGTTTCAAAAAACTGTTTAACCATGCAAAACTTTTTAAAACTGTTTAACCATGCAAAACTTTTTTTTTCTCCAGAATAAGCAATATATTTTCTGCAACAATGTGCTATTTCATCACCTTACTGATATTTTGCCATTATCCATTATATAATTAAACAGAAACAGGTACTGTGCATTAAAAACATCCAATTTATACTGTATATATTTGGCAGTGGTGGAGATTACCTTTTGTACCTATCCACACCTGGTCCAGCTCTAGTTTGAAGGTAAGTCGGACTTTACCTCCCGACTTGTTGTACATGCCTGCGATGGGTTGGTGTGGTAAGGGCTCCCTAGTTTTGTGACCTGGAATGCAATCATCTGGTTTCCCATATTTATCTAGCACCTTTTTATGGTCCTGTAGAAAAAAAACATGTTTAAGTCAGAAATGATATACTGCTTGAACCACACTATATTATACAAATAAATTGTACATGATGAATTTTTATCATATAGCATTACAATTTTAATGAAAAATATATCTTTACTACAAGATTATGCTGCCAATGATTATCAAATATTAAAATAAATGATTATTAAATATTCAAATAAACAAGTTTGGATCATTAAATGTAGTTGTTTCTTTTAATGATCTTTACACTGCCACAGTGAACTAGATATTAAAGTAAGTAGATCTCCAACCTAAAAACAAAGTCTGTAATAGAAACTAAATCAACAGGAATCTTTGAATCATTAATTACTAAAGCAAGTTATGAAGATAAAAACTAGTCATACTTGAACAGTTGTTTGTACCTTCTGTTTGGATAAAGATTCTTTTGTGGCTGCTGCTGCTGTCTTTGCCTCAGCCTCTAGCTCTTTAGCACTGGGCTTACCCATGGATAACACATCATTTAGGGTCGACCCTACCACCATGATCTTGGACCCTTTAGTCACTTTTAAGTCTCGTAATGTACACTCATCTTTAGCTAAACCTAAATATGAAAAAATAATTTAAAGTATGCACATACATAATTACTATACTTGATCACTATATAGCATCAACTTCAATTTAAAAATTCCACAACTGCCCTTTTTCATGTAATAGAATATGTATAATGTTTATGGTTGAACTTTTAAATGAAGAACCTGAAAATAGTGGCAGTATAATGATGGACGTGACAACTACAGTAATTACTTGATATCAATAAAATAAAAAAATGTCAATTGTCCAGTGATAATATTTATATATACAAATAGCTTGTAGTGTAAATTAACCAATCTTTAGTTTCCAAACGTACATACCTTTAAACATGATTTTCTGCATAGCTGCTGGAACACCTACAATTATTAACAGTATATTAAAATTACTGAGGACCAGCATTCACAATACCAACTCACTTATAATGTTGAGTTTAAACTCTTGGAAATCAACCTTTAAAAATTTGAAGATATGTTGTTACTTTTCAAATTACAGTGTTATTCTTGTTTTTGAAATTGTAACAAATTAACAAATTATTCCAAAAATTGCAATTTATTGAATTAAAAGAACAAACATTTTTCGTTACACGTAATTTTCAAAGTTCATTTTAATTCATTTACCTTCTACACCAATCTGATTAAAATCATATCCTACGTTCTCTATGTATCACGTTAGAGAACGTAGGATATGATTTTAATCAGATTGCTTCTACACAGAACTTTTGTTAATCCTGGCTGGAAATTTAGAAGTCACTTTGGTAAAAAATAAAGTCCCTATATGGAATTGGGTTTGGAAAACACTAGGAAAGTTTGTTGTGTAAATGTTTTAGTACAATTATAGGACATGAGGACAGCAACTATGAACTGTACCAAATTGGGGAAAAATGCCTGAATCCACCAAATGGGAAAGAAAATAAGTTGTAACCATTTTACTGATCCACTAGCTAAAAAATTAAGATTTTCACCATATGTTCAGAACTTTTTGTTGAAATTTATATCAGATGAAATATAAGGTTCACATATAATTTTGTTATAATGACAATTAACATTTTTATTTTTTTCTATATTTCTATATATTTACATAAAAAGGAAACATCTTAAGAACACGTCTTAAGCACTTTCATCTCATCAAAGAGATTCTTTAGACTGTTTATTTGAAGCAGATATTATGCTGTCATATACTATGACATCACATAATAGTTTGCCATATATATAAATACCTGTTAGTGTTTCAACATGTTCCTTGAGTTGTTTTATAGTGTTGTCCATAGCAAATGAGACATCGTATTTCTGTTTTTTGTATATTAGTTTGAATTCCACTTCCTCCATTTTTGTATCTGAAGCAGCATTAGTATTCTCGGATGTACCTACAACAATGTAATAAATGTGAGATACATGTACCTAGGTATGTATCAATCCAGAGCAAAGGTTGTAACTGCTGTAAAACAGGAAGCCCCGGTAAAATACCAGGATAAACAAAGTCTATAGATCAATGAGTCATGATGTTTTGCTGTACATCTATATAGCTACACACATAGACTGATAGTGCAATTAAATGACTATAAACATCGAAAAGCACCAAAATTGAGCACATTGGATCGTCATATGACAAAATTTAACCACTCCATTTTGAGCAAAAAACACAAAATAAAACATTGACAGGACCAAGTGAAACCTACATATGACAAACAAGTCATTGTGACTGACAAAGGGATAAGTATATACCCCATCACTAGGTGAGAGTATAAAAAATATTGGTTGAATAATTCTCAAAAATTAGCAATGACAAGAATTATTTCAAAAAGCTTGGCAGACCGATGGATAACTGATGATGGTAGGCTCAACATACAGCTGAATAGTAAAGTTTCACTCATTATATTTTGTTATTCAAACATTTCCTGATCTTTCAGATTTACAGTCCATACCTGAAGATGATGATTCTGTCTGGTTTTGATTGACATCTCCTTGTCCCCCTGGGTCTGTTGCTTTATCAGGTTTGTCTGGTTGTTTTTCACTTTCTGCTTCTACTTTCTGGGGACCATCAGACACAGATTCCATTTTCTCTTGTTCACTGACCACAGTAGGTGGTGTTTCTAATAAAAACACATTATTTTAATTGAATTCATTCTGACATATATGCTTTTCAGTGATTTAACTGGGGAAAAAAAACATATATATTGTTACTTCAATTTTCATGCTTGTTTTTTTCAAATCTTCAAATTAAAGGTAATTTTTTATTAAATGGAACATTGCAACCAACAGGTAGTAGCTTTCTCTAGCACTACTGTTATAACACAACATCAAATGTGTGAAACTGCTCCCAACACTATTTTCCGATAATTTTTCATCATAATTAAGAATAAAATGCAGATTTTATCATTTAAAATTAATTTCAATGATATAATTGTTAAAATTCTATTTGATCCTCAAATAACATACAATTAATGCTTTCAGAAGACAATTGACATTTGGCTACCAGCTTACTGGTGGCCAACACAATCCAGACCCACTATATTCTCTTGTAATTTCACTTAACATTGATTTAATTCCAGAAAGTTAAAGACATCATCATCTAAGCTACATTTACCTTGATCTTTGTTTACATAACCCACTAATGATAATCCTTCATATCATATTACTGTAAGTCATTCTACAGAAAACTGATGGGGTTTAAATAAATGATGAGGACTACTTTTTGTATTAGTTCAAATCAAAAATCACAATTAATACCATTTACTATATTTTGCATTAAGAATATGAGACCTAGTACATGTATATGTAATAGTTCAACATGTAACAGAGGTCACTATTGTTTTCCCCCATTGTCTCTGCTATGGGTCAAACCTGGGACCTCTGGTTTACTAGCTAGTATTACGCTCTACCAAATGAGCTAAAGAGAAATTCTCTGTAGCCGAGCCGTGGCTAGTATTTTACCAGGATGACTAAAACACTTTCTGGTAGCAGTGCACAGTAGCGTACGGTGGTCATGGGTGATATTTTTGTACAATGAAAATAATCATTTATCTAAAAAAATGTATTCAAAATGTAGTTTATAAATATATATAGATATGTAGGTGCATGTCTTTTGCAGGATGAATCCACTATCCATGTTTATCTGAGACATGCCCTTCAATTTCAGGATCAGACCATTTCTTCTGTACTCTGCTACCTCTGCTATACATGTTTGAGAGAGACAGGTGTACATATCAACGTCAATGTTTTATTTAATAATATGTTAATTTCTTCCTTCTATATATCTTTTTTTGTTTTGTACATTTTTTTATCTAAAAATAACCATGACGTGTCAAAAAAAACATTAAATGTTATCAAATGATCATAAGAATGTACTCAAGAGCCAATATTTGGTGACAATAAAACCTGACAGCCACTAGTTACTTGTTAGTTTAATGTGCCACTTTATTCGTTTTGTCAATAACAGTAAAAAGAACCATTGACTGATTGAGCTACGTTCAAACAGATTTAACAAACAAAGAATGTTTAGCTAAAAGTAAGATACAATCTAACGAATGTCAAACTTCAACTAAAGTCATGCTAATTTCCACTATTTTTTTCCGTCAATCAGTAGATTGCTGATTTCGATTGCGGGCTAGCGCAGGTACTACATGCGTGACAAACGAAATTGAAGAAGACGTCATTACGACGGAAACGAAAATGGTCAGCACAATGCTTTTATCGTGTTTATCCATAAAGAATGGTATTGCATAAGTATAGAAAAACTATCAAGAAAGATTGATCATTCATTTCTGTGTTTGTCATAAGGCTGATTTTGAATAAAAGCATTTTTGTATCTGAAAACTTTTCTCTCACCAGATTCTGACGCCATTTTGTATTCGTTCAAAAAGATGTATCTTAGTTTATTATTATATTCGACCTAAATCTCAGAGGGGTATCGAAAGTAAAGAAAGAAGAGCTTTACATGGAAGATAACTCTGTTTGCATTTGTTGCAGGACATACAATTACTGTAGTAATTTATAGACAGATTTCAGGAATTTTTTTTATCTCAAAACAGAGACGTGTGTAATAGATATGTAACAATGGTGTATTAATTAGGTTGCTTTACAAGCGTCAGCTGCAGGGAATTCCCCTTTAGCTCAGCGGTAGAGCACCTGGCTGGAGAGCCGAGGGTCATGGGTTAGAGTCCCAGCGACGGCACTATCATTCCTCGTCCTACGACAGATATAATCATTAACTACAAAAAAACGAAAGTCATTCGGTATCTTTACAAGTTACAAGATACTAAATTTAGCTACATTTTAACCACGAACTTTAATGTAATCTAGAAATCCAATTCTGTGATATGACCATTGAGTATTGCAAAATGTACTCTATTCTACGGTATAGGTTAAAAAGAGGTTGTATTTCATCCCGAGCCATTTAGCTAGTGGATTTTTTTTTGCATTTAGCTAATTTAAATCTATTTTGTCAACTATTTAACGATCGGTGTACATGTAATAATGAATCAATTGAAAACGTCTGCGAATATTTGAAGTTAAATGTATCTCCAGTTCATGAAAGAAATCTTGCATTCAATTGAAAAACAAAAAGGCGTAGATGAATGTTTTCCCCATTTTTTTTTCATTAAGAATAAAAGGTACAATCAATTATAACGTCTTCCACACTGCAGTGCAGGACACAATAACATGAAAATGCTGCTCTTTTTTTAATAAATATGATTATAATCGACATTTGATAACACAACTATCGTTCGATGGTTAATCGTTTATTATTATTATTATTATTATTATTATTATGCATTTCTGGATCTAATTACCAACAAAAAAGCATATGAAAACGTTTAATTTTCATGTGATTAAGACCGTAATCGCGTCAGTTATCCAGCATTTCTTAAAACAACAATTATAACACTATATATATCTCAACAAGTACAAATCCACTGACTGGTACCTATCCAGAAACGCGGTTTGAATCATGAAAGTCGTACACCTCTCAAGCAATCAAAGAATGTCACGCGCACGTTCAATCACGGACTTAGATAAATATATTCCGTGGTTCAATTAATCAATGCAAAAAATAGCATACTTAACACTTTCCCCATAGCTTTCCTTTGCTCGGAGTGAATTCATTTGGGAGCAGGTCCAGATGTGGGCCCTGGTCGCGGGACCAGAATCTCCATGGAAATACACGGACCTACTCTGGTATAATGACATTTTTGTGTGTGTTGTTTAGTTAACTGAAAAGCACGATTTTAGTAGAAGTGGCCAAAGCAAACAGCGTTTTGTTTGTTACCTCACTGAACCCACATTAAATTATATAGCCAGAGTTTCCTCTGGCCCTGACACCAGACTTGGATATTTTGACAGATAGATGTCTGGTGTAAACATCTATCTGTCACAATTTCTAACTTTGTACCAAACCACGGACGTCCTGATGACGTCACAAATGTAGTGCTGCGTGACGTCCATCAGAAATTCAATCAAATGAGAGAGAACAAACGCTCGCTCGGAAAGAAGGCAGTTACAGGTGGCGAACAAGTAATGAAAGAATATTGCAAATTAGAAATAAATCAAGGATACTAACACGAAAACAAAGAAAGGATTTCGAATATAAATTATCAACAGACGCAAAATGTAATCCAAAAGCAATTTGGAGATACATCCGATCAAAGTCAAAAACGAAAGCTGAAATGGAGATCTATAAAGCAAATATATTAAATTCATATTTCAAAAGTGTGTTTGTTACAGAACCAGACAAGGTAACAGAAATCCCTACTCTTCCATATAAAGAAATAATTTCTCAAATGCAGCCACTAAGTATAACCAGTGAGTCTGTTCAAAAGGAACTTCTAAAATAATAAAAATGACAAATCTCCAGGAATGGATAGATTACATCTACTATTTCTCAGAAAATCTGCAGAAACGATAGCATCAACCATAACAAAGTTATATACCATATCGCTGAAAACAAGTGGTACCAGATGATTGGAAAAAACTCAGATAACCGCAATTTTTAAAAAAGGGGACACATGCGAACCAGGTAATAACAGACCGGTTAGTTTGACATCAATTGTATGAAAAATACTAGAAACTATACTCCGTCACGTCACTGAAAATATGAAACAAAACGCATTCTTTTCAAATAAGCAGTAAGGATTTATGTCTGTTAGGTCTACGTCACTTCATTTTGTGAAAGTTTTAGATGAATGGACTGAACAATTAGATAAGGGACACTTGATCGATTGTATATATATATATATGGGTCAAAGAAGTAATATAGACGGTAAAATCCCATATAACACTGGATCCTAATGGAGGTATGTCCGTAGGATACGAATTACTTAAAATAGTATATGGGGCAAAGAAGTAATTCCAACAGTGTGGACAAGTTTAGGTTGTCAAATTTTCGGAGCGATCCGCTCCTTTATCAAGACAAAGTGAAACAGAACAGTTACATGATAGAACTGCTATACTATAATTGAAAATATAGCTATCATATAAAAGAAACAAAAAAGTCCCCTCGGCTAAAGACAGCCGAAGGCAGCAATTAAGCTGAGAACATCGCGGGCAAGGAACGCTGATGTAGAGGACCTATTCTTGCGCAAGATGCACTGTCACATCTTTCTGGTGCTTATCTCTCGTTGACTCACTTTATGTGACAGTGCATCTTGCGCAAGAATAGGTCCTCTACATCAGCGTTCCTTGTCCGCGATGTTCTCAGCTTAATTGCTGCCTTCGGCTGTCTTTAGCCGAGGGGAATATTGTTGTTGTTTTTATTATATATAATAGCTATGTTTTCAATTATAGTATAGCAGTTCTATCTTCTTGTAATATGATGTATATGTACATGTAACTGTTCTGTTTCACTGTGTCTTGATAAAGGAGCGGATCGCGCTCCGAAAACTTGACAACCTAAACTTTTCCACATTGTTGGAATTACTTCTTTGCCCCACATATATATATATATATATTATAAATCAGAAAAATGATCCTTACGGACGAATAAATATTATATAAAGAAAAATTCTTAACAGCGAGTCTTTAATACTTTCATCTCTTTTAGGAGATTCTTCAGACAACATAACAAAACCGACCCGTTGTTAGGAAATTTTCTTTATATAATATATATATATGGGTAAAGAAGTAATAACCACAGTGCCGACAAAGACATTTGTCAAATGTTCAGGGCGATCTGCCCCTTTTTCAAGACAGGAAAAAGATAATTTACATTTCACAACATAAAACAGAGAAAAACAGTCACCATGAGACAATAATACAATACAAAATACATAAACAAACAGAAGTTATTAATATAAAATATGCTGTTGTAATTGCATATCCCCTAGTAACCGAAGGCTATATCTATATATATATATGGATTTTCAGAAAGCCTTCCAGTCCCACACAAAAGACTTTTAAGTAAAATGTCGTTATATGGAATTAGCGAGGTATTTATTAAATGGACGGCCAGCTTCATCTTCAACAGAAAACACAGAGTCACACTAGAAGATCCACAGGAGTTCCCCAGGGATCGGTACTCGGACCAACATTATTCGTCATATACATAAATGACCTACCTGATACAATACAGTCTGAAGCTTATCTTTTTGCGGACGACACAAACTTATTTAAATGTATACAGGGAAGTGCTGATGTAAACATACTCCAAGATGACCTTGACCATCTGTCAGCTTGGAGTGATAAATAGTTAACGAAATTTCATCCTCAAAAATGTAAATCGATGCGTTTTTGCAGGCATAACGACGAAAGAAAATATTCCAAAACAAAAGAATTACAAGAAGTGAACAAGGAAATAGACATAGAAGTAATTATTAATCAATCTCTTGATGAACATATATGTACACAAGTTAAGAAAAATTCTATGTTTGCATTACTGAATCACTAGTGAGAGTCCATCTTGAGAACGCAAATTCTGTATGGCACCCGTACAAAATTAAACATATTGATATGATTGAGGCTGTACAACGGAGGGCAACTACTAGTCAGTTTCCTGGATTTAGGGAAATGTCCTATTCTGATAGACTTAAAATCCTTAAATTACCACCACTGGCCTTTAGAAGGATCAGTGCATGGGGATATGATCGAAGTAATAACGAGCAATATCTGCGATAGCAAAGCAGCGGATTTTCATAAACGCTGGAACAACAAGGTCCAAAGACGGGAACAAGAGGCCATTGGAAAAGCTGTTTCCACAGCATTGTAAACTGGATATCAGGAAAACCATTTTTGGTCTGTGCGTAGTCAAAATATGGAACAATCTCCCAGAACAAGTAATCTCGGCACCAACAGTATATTCTTTCAAAAACAGATTAGATAAGTATTGGGAAGACCAAGAGCTTTAATATAATTATAAGTCCGAAATAATATAGAAATTGGAACTGTTATTGTTTTGTATTGTTTTTAATGCATATTTGAGTCGAGTGAAGAGGATCTTAAATGATCCTGTACCGGTAATAAACTAACCTAACTTAACTAAACCTTTGTCTAAGCAATTTTCCAAAACCTATCTTTTCACTCTGTGTTAATTGCGCTTGCTCTACCGGGATACCTGGGGTGACTTTGTCATTTTCCGACTAATTGTTTCGGCAAAGTGTTTTTGGAGCAGTCATTTAAAGGATATATTTCAGTGAAGATTATGAGGTAATCGCCATGCAATTCAACCCGACAACATCAAATGATATAGTGTTATTACCTAATCATTACAGTGACATCACTAAAACGAGACAGCTAGTGAAAGCACCCTCCCTACCACGATGAATTTGTACGAAGAACCTTTTGCCTCTTGTTGACAAAATTGAGCTGACTGATGCTGGGAAAGCCAACAGATAAGTGCAGAAGGAATTAGAGCAGCTGATATAACTAGATTAATTGGAAATTCTTTAAGCGATTATGGGCAGAAGAATTCTATTCAAACGGATAACGGCTTGTTGGGGTCTATATTCAAATGACATAAAATTAAGTTCTAACTAATTATTTGAATATACGTTTATTTTATATATCCAAGGCGAACAAAAGTGCGATGGTTGAGTTAGCAGAGAAATAAATTTGAACGGAATCATTGCATCGTTTAAATATTTCGAAACTGTTTTTCTTATACTATGTGAAATATGTTGTGTGCTAATTATTATCAGGCCATTGCTAAGTTTTGCATATGTTTACTTGTATTATTGAGAGGACATTGATAAGTTGTGATAGCTTGCGTCCAATCCTTTTTTGTGTAGTATTCTAAAATTTATTTTAATTAAAAAAAAAAACCCGAAACTGTCAGTATGTCAAAAAATATTAAAAAAAATGTGTTCCTGTTTAAAGACATACATTTATATATACTTGTCTATTAGGTAATTATGATGGCAATATTGCTTTTTGACTAATGGATTAAAATATGTAATCTTTTTGATGTGCACATATGAATGATGTTGACTTCACACAAACAAACTATCAACTTTCGAAGTAAGCTAGCAGGGCTGATTTTGAACTATTTTTAAAGTTCATATTTGATTTTATAACGTTATTAGGTGCAAGTAACATTGTAATACGTATATACGTCGTTAGGTGCAGGGGAATGTGACACCAACAGATTATATAAAAACATATGTTACAGTATAAGCGCATGGAGATTTTTAATGAATTTGAGTAACAAAATATTGAATGAGGTGTATTGACAGACGAGACTAGTACCAGTGAAGCGATCTATGGACGCTTGAAAATAACGAGAGAGAAAAGTTCAAGACGGATAAAAACCGTTCTAACATCAAGCTAAGGAGATGTCATACTCATTTAGAATTATACTGGAAGAATTTTCCCATTCACAGTATGTCAAAACAAAAGAGGAATTAAGAAAATTGTTTGATCGACATTTCAAAGATATACATTTTGCTACCGGATACATTATGCTGTATTATTTATGTTAATATATTTTTAATTATGCCATTGGCCATCTGGGCCCAGCTGTTCAAAAGGTGATTAACGCAAATTTTAACTTTTGTGTATCTTTAAGACACAAACATTGAATTAGTTACAACTTTCCAGGTATCAAATATTTAGTTAAGTGAATTGACATGCAAAATTGTGAGATTTTACCTTGCATAATGATTTTTTTCATTAAAGGTTGAAAAATGTTAAACAGCGATTAAGCTAATCACCCTTTGAACAACTGGGCCAAGATGTACATTGTCGTAAAATATTTAATGATAAAAAATGGACCAACAGGCTTTCAGTCTTTGCCCATTATTATTTTATTCATTCAAAATCTGTTTCAAAAGTCCCCTCTTATCTTGCAGGGCTTCAATGTTAGGAATTGCAGTTTTTCCAGGCGTCTTCTGTCTGCAATTTATTTAAATCCAGATACGAATTGGTAGCTCTTCGTTGTACATTATCAATTATTTGGGTATCTTTAACTTTGTGGGGATGCGTAGAATCTTTTTATGATGTCAAGGACCATATTGCTTTGTTAAAAGAGTATTGCACATATATGTTCTCAAATCTAGCTAGTTATCGATAGTTACACCACCTACATCGTTTCCAGTGGTAATGTTCTTTAGTGTAACTTCTTCAACATTCTGGCCTACATTAAACATCGGTCTTCTTAGGCTATTACATTGAATTGGTAATTACCGGTCATTTGGCTTTTCTGCTAAACTAAATATGATTGCAGAATGAATCTATCCCATTAGATTCTGATCTTATGATTTAATTTGGTGTCATCAGGACAATATTGTATTCTCGTGAATATCCTTAATGTATCTAGAACAATTAACATTCGTCCGTCAAACATCTCGTTGGTGAACGAGTACCCACTGGGCGATAATATGATTTTTGGTAAATTCAAAATGTTCAAAGCTTGTGAATCAGACTAAGATAATACATGAAATACATGAAGTCTTTATAAAACATTATTTTCTCCTCATGCGATAACCAGAGAGATATTGGTCTATGTTTGCGCTCTTCCATGATTGGAGCAAATCCCCCTCCTAAAAAAATGTTTTCGAAACATTATTGAAAAGATCTCGAAGTTCATTTAATGCTTTTGGGGATAGGCTTTATCTGCCTTTATGATTGATCAATCCAAATATGAGAGAAGTTTCCTAATATTACAATAGTTGCATGTTGTATCGTAAGACTGACTGGTTTTGGCCTAAAACATGACTTTATAATCTTTTGGTGGTCCTGTAGACACACTAGAAAACACTGGTGGTTCTAGCTTCAAACAAGACTTTATCTTTTGGTGGCCATGAAGACAAACTTTAAAACACTGGTGGTTCTAGCTTCAAACACGACTTTATCCTTTGGTGGTTCCGTAGACAAACTGTAAAACACTGGTGGTTCTAGCTTCAAACACGACTTTATCTTTGGTGGTTCTATAGACACACTGTAAAACACTGGTGTTTCTGGCTTCAAACACGACTTTATTCTTTGGTGGTCCTGTAGGCACACGGGAAAACACTGGTGGTTCTAGCTTCAAACACGACTTTATTCTTTGGTGGTTCTGTAGACAAACTGTAAAACACTGGTGGTTCTAGCTTCAAACACGACTTTATCTTTGGTGGTTCTATAGACACACTGTAAAACACTGGTGTTTTTAGCTTCAAACACGACTTTTTTCTTTGGTCGTCATGTATGCACACGGAAAAAACAACGGTGGTTCTAAATCAAACATGACTTTTGGTGGTTCTTAAAAAACAATGGTGAAAAAAAACACCATCAAATATCTTTACTTTCACTGAATCACTTGCTGGAACTCGTGTTAAGTTACTATTGTGTCTTGTGTATTGTTTTGGTGAACTTGACGACAGCTTTAATTAACTGCATCAGGCTTTGTTGATACATTTGTATCTTTGGTATGTATAATTTGTATTCAAATGTTTTGTTTTGTTTCGGTTTTTTTGCCACCGTATATGTTCTGACAGTTTATTCAATGCGGTATTTTAAAATGTATCTCAAGAGAAAAACTGTGTTCAATTAACACCACCGAGTCTTAATTTAATGTAATTGATTGTATTACGAAAAATATGGATTTACTTGTGTTCACTGCATAACACGGTAAACATGTGATAAATATTTATGTTTGACCAATAAAGCAAAACCCATGTGATCTACACTCTCTATGGATGCCGCGCGAGGTTAGTTAAATCACTAAGACACATATTTGATCACTTAATTATTCAAATGTATGTGTATGTATTTACAAATTACTACCTTCCAGAAACAGTTAAATTAAAAAGAAATGATAATATGAAATGTCAAAGACTGTAATCACATTTACTTCACTTTCATTCAACCAAACACACATGGATTAACAAATTGCTCACTCGGCTCCCCACATATCATAATATAGGATGTATATAGTTGGTGATAGCTACATATAAATAACTTAAAAACCATTTGTTGTAAGAGCTATATATAATGCACATGTAAAAATTGAGTTCATGTGAATATTTTTTTCACGATTATAGCTCAATTAACTCCCTTCCCTAATAGTTGCGAAAAATAGTCATCGCGTGAAACAAACAATGCATTACCATATAGGCTGCATTATGATAGAGATAACATGATCCTAGCATTAATTGCCGTGTAAGGCTCCACAAGTACATAAAATTTTGTTGATCTGGTTTACATTTCGTATCTATAACGAGATATAATAAGAAGGTTGTCAATTTGTAAGTGAATTAATAGATAAACACATTAAAAACATATTATAATTGTCTGTGCTCTATGGCTAAATGTAGTAATATCCAAAATGCATTGAGAGAAAACAAATGTAAAGCTTAAATAGATATATACAAACATCCTAAATGTATAATGTATCCAGCTTGATACACTGAACATGACTTGAACTACAGAGTATACAAAGACATACAAGACATTGAATACAGTTTTTTTTATCAAAACCAACAAAACAAACTATTCGTTTCTCAATGATTGAAGATATAACATGTGATTACACAGAAACTGATACCAGTAGACATAATTGGCATATAATGAATATGATAATTAAAAATCTTAACAGATACATGTATATTTTATATTTATAGGAAAAATAGACTCTAAATGAAACAAACTAACAAAAACATGCTGGACATATTGCAATCGTGTACAACCCTCTAAGAACATTGTACAGTCGCTCAAAACGCATTCTCAACGGCTTCTACTGCTTTCTGTACATTGTTATCCAAGATGCCATCACCTCCTGTCAACAAAATCAAAATAATTGATTACGACAAACGATTTTTATGATAAAAAAATGTTAGAAACGATGCTAAAGTGAATTTACATACACTACACTGACACCCCCTTCTAAACGAATTCATTTGCAACAAAGGAAATTCAGAAATACCTGAAAGTCAATGCAATTCTATTTGATATGAATAAATGTTACAAAGGGAAGTCATTACAGACTGTTTGGTGGCCAGAATGAGTAATTGAGTTAGTATGAACCTTGAAGTAGAATGATGTAATATCTAAGATTTTTAGTTCGTCTCTCATGGCGCAGCATGAATTGTTCTTTAACACACCTACTCCTTCTGATCGTCTGTTCAGATTTAAACTAAATTTAATCTACGTATCACTGTGAGACGGATGTTTAGTTGTAAATGAAAAAAACAAAGAAGCTATAATCAGGTCAAAATTTAGTTTCAAAAGTTGAGGGGGATGGGATATAGTCGCCAAAATATCCGAATTCAATATGCAACACTCCGTCTTTCTCAAGATTTACAAATAAATCATGTTTGGTTAATTGTTGGTGAACTAACAAGGATATGCTCAAGACAAATCTTGGTTTGAAAAATTAACAAGGACAATAAGCAAAATTGGTGAATGCAGGTAAAATAGCCAGGAATTAAATGCTCCGGAGAATCTCTGGTGTCAAAATTTAACAATGGGCAATAACTCTGTTAACACAGTAATTTAAGTAATAATACTCTGAAAAACAAACTCGATTGAACGATGAAATATCTGTTTTTAAGTCTCATCAAGATACGTCAATTGATAAAGGCAATTGAATGATGAACAGAAAAAAGTAAAAGCATGGATGGACAGTGCACTTGGTGTATACCATCGCACTGTTGTCAAATGGCATATAAAAATACTTCAGGCACACCTCAAGTTTCATGCATTTTGTTTTTATTTCAGTGGAGTTATTTACCTATTGGAAGTGTATAGAGTAAATATGGATAGGTGAAATCATGTATTCTGTTTGAAACAGTGACTTGAATTGTGAACTGGCACAGGAGGAGATGTTTATGAACATGTATTTTAAGTTTCATGACAACAGGATAAGAAATAAAATCTGTGCAGCAATAAAAGCTAGATCCTGTTTAAAGTTACAGTGACCTTGTTTTTAACTTCAGGAGGTTACCATATTAGTTCACATACAGCACAAAGTGCCTGAAAGTTTAGTTATAGTGCAACATCTGTTACCATTTTACAATTTATCAAGAATGATAAGGTATGGAGTAACAATATATTGCCACAGCTGGTTAGAATAAAGGGATACCGAATTCCTTCTAATAAATAACAATGACCCTCATTCAACGTCAGAGATTTAACTTTTAAACTTGTGACCTTAAATTAGTGTCAAGAAATGTCTTTGAAAAAGGTAGCCCTTTCCACAGCAAACTGTTTGCAAAAATGTATTAGTCCGGGTCTGTTGGTTCTATAGAAAGGTTTTGAAGAGTTTAGTTGATTTTATACCTTAGACTTTAAATGTTGGCTAAAATGGTACTTTATTTGAATAAAGATGACAGCTGTTTTCATTGACAAAGCTACATGCATGATATCATTATTCTTTTATGCCTTTTTAGTAATTTAGTAATTTGTTTGAATAACATTGAAAAGCCTTCAAGCAAGTTTAATGCCAAATATTGTGAAAGGATTCTTTAAGTGGTTTAAGAAGTCGATAATGGACAGAATAGACACTGCATCAAAGCCATAACCTCACAGGAACTTGATGCCAGGTGAACTGCATAACTCAAACAACTTCTGATGATGAACCATCAGACATAGAATACTAAATCATATTTAGCTGATGACTTGATGGGGCACAGGACCATTAACTTACCATAATCTAAATCTTGTATTTTACACATAAAAATACGTTCACCATTCACCCAAAGTTCCACACTGTTTAAGTCACTCATTTCTTCAAATTCAACCTCATGTCCTTCTTTTATAAGAGAGCCTACAGGAAAAATAATCACCGTAAACATATATATTTGGCAAACATTTCAGAACCTCAAATCAGCACACAATCAAGACTTTACCTATATTTTTGGCTTGATTCACCTAAATTGGGGGAAATAAAGGTTTTAATTGAGCTTAAAAATATCATAGTATCTAGTCTTTTAGGAATTTAAATTGAAAACACAAAATTCAATAAATGTATATTCACAGCAGGAGCAAGTTTATATGACATGTATGCTCGTTTCTGTTTTATTGAAATGGTCTAGGCTAAACAGAAACTCACTGTCTAAACAAAAAGTAATGCAGCCGAACACAGTTCATGCTTATATTCATCTCCATTTTTTTTGTTAGGCAAAAATTGTATTCAGCTGCATTATTTTTTGTTAAGTACAACAAAAGTCAGTTTTCCATCATTTCTCTTTGTTGCTAGGGCATAAATAACCATTACATGATATAGAGAAACTTGTCCATATCAAGACACCTCTTTCCAATTGAAGTTAAGTTGATTCAATGGTCAAGGCCATGGTGAATGTATAATAAAGGAAAAAGGATGAGATCTATTATTTTCGACCTTTTTTATGACATTATTAGACTTACTCTCAAGCCCTTCCAGTCGTGCAGTGTAATGTTTTACACAACCACATGCTTCATATGGCCCAAAAAAGACGGTCACTTTGGCATTCTGAGGCATGGTTGCTGTAAAATGATCTGAAATATAACAACAAAATTTGTACCACTATCATTAAAAGGAAACATCAATTTAAACTATACTCAACCAAAAATGGCAAGTTAATGCTTCTTTCGGCTGAGTCAATTTTGCAATTGTATTCAACTTGGTATCAATTAAAACATTGAACTGATTTTTATTTATTTTATCTCGAATTAAGAAATAATGCAAAACTGTAGTTATTTCATTTTTATGTCTTTTGTAAAGGCTTCGCAGTTTAGGATAGTTTGGGCAGATACACAACAACCAAGCAATGTCCTCACCATCCTCGATATCCAGGGGTTACGATCACTTTTGCTCTCTACACCCCTGGAATAAGTCATAGCAAAAATGAAGGCATGCACCTAGCTATTTGATTGGTGTCAGGTAAAAACACCTGACCAATCACTAGTCTGATACTTGTCCTTTGAAGATCACAAAGGAACGATGCCCGACTTCAAAGCCTGTCATATTTTACCGTTACACGACCGCATTATTTTGATGTACATCACAGGACCAAACTAGTCTTCTCGTCTCATCCACAAAGTGCTGCACACTGAGCCTTCAATTTTGCTATTACATATTCCAGGGGTGTAGAGAGCAAAAGTGAGACACATTTGAACCCTTCCAATTCAAACGGTGGACTAGTTTATTATGAAATTTCAGGGGTGAATGAGTTAAGGGGAGGTGTTGAAATGTTTTGCTGAGAATATATCATTCCCATTGCCACTGTTGTGAAATATTCAAGTCATTATCTACAGAGGTCTTGTGAAGCATTTGAGTATTTGACACTATATGGTAGTTGTAAATGCATAGCATCAAAACGAAAGATGAAGGCCTTTTCAAGAGAAGCAATTCTTATAAAGAAAACAAAAAGTATGTTGTTTTATCTTATTTAATGATTTTTTTCTAATAATACTTGTAAAATGTTCAGCCTCAATGTACTAAGATGTGTCTTTGAAACTTTTTTTCCATATGAGTGCAAGTGGACCTACACATAGGTTAAAGGATACATTTTATATTTAGTATGAAGGGATCTTATCAAAAACAACAAACTTCAGTCTCATCCAAAATTTCCAGCACAGATTACTTAAGACAGCCTTAAATACTATACGTGTATTTAATGGTACATGACCTTGAATTATTTAAAAAGACTATTAAGCTTTCCTGTGCTGCAAGCTCCCAAGCAGAACTCTTTACCTGGAAGCATCCAAGTCATGAAATTATGTATAAGATATTAAGATGTTATCAAAATTTATTTATCACAATCAAAAGATGCAGTATGATGATAGATCGTGTGTCTTTGCTTTCCTCATTTTAGCTTTCAAATAAAAAAAGGAACCAATCTAGCTAGGTCGTTAAAAAGTTAATTGTTATATCGCCTACAAATAAGGTTGAAAAACCTCTAGTGTGATGGTGCATTAGGAGCAAAGTGTGGTCCTTAACTTTCTCTCATTGGTAATATTAACAAAAGTTAAGAGTCATATAAACAAAGTCAAATTTCAGGGGTAGTCTGTTGCAAACATGATATGCCAGCTTCTTTCTCTAGAAAGATTAAAGTGTTTACATGTTTCAGAAGAACATAAAACATCCTAAACAGAGAAAAAATATTTGGTTAAAACAAGAATTGTTCATATCAATAGACATATTTAGTCAGTACCAGATTTTCACGGGCATTTACACATTTTTTGCCAATAAAATCATGTTTCAAAGTGTTCAGCATACTTCAGCATGGACTGCAACTGCACACATTCAATTTCATTCCCCTCTTGTTGCTAAAAGTAAGTTTTGTTCACTTTTTTTTTTTTTGCATTATTTCTTTTATCAAGATCTACTTCTACTTAAAGTTATTTGTCACAATCATTCACCTTTTTTTTTGAAATTGTTATATATTTACCATAGTGCAGTATAGCTGTATAATTTAATCCTATAACTAGTAGAACTGTCAACTGTCAGGTGTCAACTCTTAAATTGATGTGCACGAGATAATTACGACCAGTGCTGTTGTGTTTTCATTTGCCCTATATATGCATAATCATATTTGACTATATAGCCAGATTTGTCGGTGCTCCAGTACCTAGCAGGTTTTATTCTATATGCATGCAAATTTAAAATATTTGGTAGCATACTACTGTAGAAGTCCTGTCACATATGTACAGATAAAACGTTTTTTATAAGCCTGTTACCCGTCTATGTTAGGTTAAAAAAACTATCAGCCTTTTTTACAAATGCAGATCAGTTTAGGAACAAATTTAATGAGTTTCAGGTAAGGGTCAGGGACAGTAGACCTATGGTGATTAGCATAGCAGAGGTGAAGGCAAAGAACAGTGTAAATATACCGAACCCCGCTGAATACACGATGGAATGGTCCAATGACTACAATATGTTCCATGTAAATATAGACAACTGCATAGGAAGAGGATTGCTTTTAGATGTACATAACTCATTGCGAGCAGAGGAAGTGAAATTAACAGTGGTATTGGAAGAGAATTTATTGGTTAAAATCAAAGTGAACAACAAAGATTGCTTATTAGTTGGTTTAATATACTGATCACCGTCAGAGAATTCAAAGGAAAAGAATGCAAAGTTGTGGGATTTGTTGACAGATGCTTCAGATATGAAGTTCAGGCACTACATCATCATGGGGGATTTTAACTACCCAAGCATAGACTGGGAACTACAGTGTGCAAAGAAAGATAACTCCAACGAGCAAAGATTCATTGATCTACATGTTCCAAAATATTGAAAAACCAACTAGATGGAGAGGAACATACATACCAAATATTTTGGACCTAGGTATTACAAATGATGAGAACGCAGTAGAGGATATGGAATACCAAAGTCCCTTGGGGAAAAGTGACCATTGTGTTATTATGCTTCAATTATGTCTGCAGTACTGTATTTCTACGGAGTCAAGAAAAAAGGAGGAGAAACTACAAAAAAGCAAACTTTACAGACATGAAGAGTGAAATAAGTAACACGGACTGGGATAGTGTACTTGAAGTTAAGGAACCAAACTGTGACATTAATAAAATGTGGAGAAAATTTAGGAGGAAAATGGAGGAGATCGAGGAGAAGTTTGTTCCGATGGCCAGGGCAAAGTCAGGCAAAAAGTCAGAAACCCCATTGGATAAAGAAACAATTACACTAATTATGGAAAAAAATGCTCTGTCTCGAATATTTGTGATGACAAAGGATCCAAATATTAAGAAGAAATACAACAGGACCAGGAACAAAGTGGTGAAACTAGTGAGGAGAGCAAGGAAGAACTTTGAAAATAACCTAGCTATATATAAGGAAGCAAAGAGTAATCCAAAAATGATATGGAAATATATTAACTCTAAGAGCAAAACAAGACAAAGTGTTGGCGAGCTTTGCATTGACCCGAAAAACCCAAAATCTAAGAAAACGGAAAACGAAGAAGAGAAAGCTAATATTTTAACAGACTTTTTTAGCAGCGTATTTACCAAGGAACCGAACGACAACATCCCAGAGTTAGAAAAAAGGAAAATTAACGAAGAGTGGACAAAGTTACAAATACTGGAAGGAGAAATAATCAAAGCACTGAAGGTACTGAAACCAGATAAGTCACCAGGAATGGATATGTTACACCCAAGGCTACTCGGAGAGGTCAGGATGGAATTGGCAGCCCCGTTGGCAGTAATATTCATCAAATCAGTAGAGACTATGAGGGTACCAGACGAATGGAAGACAGCACGTATCAGCGCAATATTCAAGAAAGGAAGCAAGTCAATAGCCGGTAATTACAGGCCAGTGAGCTTAACATCTATAGTTGGAAAAGTGATGGAAAGGCTGGTTAGGGACCATCTCATAAAGTACTTTGAAAGAAACAACCTGTTCACATCAAAACAGTATGGGTTTATCAGAGGTAGATCAACAACACTCCAACTACTACGTGTGCTGGATGAATGGACAGATGCTCTAGACAACAGAATGACATAGACTGTGTCTACATGGACTATCAAAAGGCCTTTGATACTGTACCACACAATAGATTACTCAAGAAACTTGAAGCATATGGAATTGGGAAAGAGCTGATAGAATGGATAAGGAATTACTTCAGTGGGAGAAAACAACAGGTGTCAGTAAATGGAGAAACTTCAAAATGGCATGACGTCACATCCGGCATCCCCCAGATGTTAGTACTAGGACCGATAATGTTTGTCCTATTTTTAAACGACCTACCAGACACAGTAGACTCCACTGTGTACCTTTTCACTGACGACACAAAGATACTTAACATTGTACATGAAAGAAAGGATAAAGACACACTACAAAGGGATCTACAGAAACTAACGGACTGGAGTAACACCCGGCTCTTGTGATTTCACCCGGAGAAGTGCAAGCACATGCATATTGGGAAGATAGATCTGGACCCCGATTTCAGATACGAACTACTAGGATGTACTCTAGATAACGTACAGGAGGAGTAGGATATAGGGGTCACCGTAGATGATCAGCTTAGGTTCGACAAACATATTAGCCTCAAGGTGAAGAAAGCAAACTCAATGTTCGCACTTTTAATAAGAATATTTCAACATCTAGATAAAAAACCTTTCATACCTCTATACAAGACCCTCATAATGACTCACCTTGACTATGTCATCTCCGTATGGTTCCCATATAAGTCGAAACATATAGAAGTGATAGAAGGAGTACAGAGGAGAGCAACAAAACAGATTCCAGGAATGTCAAACCTCACATATAAAGAACGATTACGAACACTAAAGCTACCAACACTTAAATATAGACGCCACCGAGGGGACATGATAGAAGTATACATGGTTACAAGTGGAAAATACGACCATCAAGCATCAAACTTTATCAAACTGCGTAAAGACCATGTGAACAGAGATCAAGGGAGGGGAAACTCAAGGAAACTACTTGTACAGAGGACGAAATTGAACATCAGGAAGTACAGTTTCAGTGTGAGAACGGCAAACCTGTGGAATAGTCTTCCGGAAGAAGTGGCGTCAACCGTGTGCTAGATCAATGAACTCCATAAAAATAGGCTGGACAAATTCTGGAGTACACAAGATGTGTTATACAGTATATGACTTTAAAGCAGTCATCAAGCCGAAACTGGTACAAATGTAGTCACTCATAAACTACAATTAAACAGTACGGAGTCCGACGAAGAGGACCGGACAGGACCTGTGTTGGAAAACCACAAGTAACCATAAGTAAGTATACTTGCACTTACATATCAGATTTTTTCAGCAAAGCCTAAAGCTTGTTGTATCCAGGAAGTTGCCTTTATTATTCACTGCGGCACACTTTGTCAGTTCAAGGTTAGATAGACGCTTGAAAGGCATCAACTATTTTTCTATTAAATGTTAAATGTACCTTTATATTTATATTAGTTTCTTCTTATCATTGGAAATCATTATTAGTTTAAGAATATTTAATATTGAAAATATTATGAAGAATGCACCACCTTTCAGCGGAAATACAGCTATGTGCGGGATTACAACATGGCTTCCAAACAAATTGTATTTCGATATTTACGCAGTGTATCTCGAAGAACTGCGAAATTGAGTGTGATTGATAGGTATTTAACGTTTCGACTTGACGGATTATTTAACATGTTGTATGACATTGTTATATTTCACCGTTCGACTGGGAGTCATTTATTCTGTATTTTACAATTTTAATATTGTACGTCTTCTCTTGTGAGCAGGTATTGATTGTTACGTCATTGGTTTGTGTGAGAAAATTACGTCGTTTTCTCAAAAATTGATGACGTTCCTCTCACAAACAAATGACGTAACAATCAATCCCTGCTCACAAGAGAAGATAACTCTGCAATACGCAAAGACGGAATAATGGCCGTCAAACTATTCTGTACTGTATAACACATCATATAAAACATCTCTGACATATTTCCCAGATTTTCACGGTGTAATTCCTGCTCTTCCCTCACAATGATCTTTCCAATAACAATTTTTTTTCTTCTTTCCTTACGTAGCATATGTAAAGGTATACAGGTTTCTCTTACCCTGTACAGGTGTATATCCGCACTTTTACCGGTGTGAGATTTCCTTGTCTCACCCTAGGGTTGAGACGGGGGGATTTCCCTATTCATAACAATGGCATGACGTCACTACAACAATCTCCTATCTCACCCCCAAGAGGGTCCCCTGATGTTCCTTCTATACGTCAACGATATCTGCGCAGGAATCACCTCTGCTGTCAAGCTATTCGCAGATGATTGCCTCCTATTCAGGATTATTGACTCCGTCGCAGACACCCACCAGCTACAGGATGACTTAGCCAAAATGGTCAGCTGGTCGAACAAGTGGCTGATGAAATTCAACGCCAAGAAGTGTTACACGATGAGGATGAAGAGATCCCGAACCAACATAACAACAGGAGCCGACTATAACATCAATGGTAGTACACTCCAAGTAGTAGAGCACAACCCATACCTTGGAGTGGAAATAGCCAACAACCTGGACTGGAAGCAACATATCAACCAGATGACCACAAAGGCCAACGGATTACTATCCTTCCTGAGGCGCCACCTTGGAAAATGCAAACAGGAAGTGAGAGAGAAGGCCTACCTGACCCTAATCCGACCAAACCTTGAATATGGAGCTTCAGTCTGGGATCCACATAAGAAAAACCAACAGAAGTCAATAGAAAGAGTCCAGCGGCGAGCAGCTCGATTCACAACCGGCGTTTACTCGCGTTACAGTAGTGCAACCGGGATGTTGATCGAGCTACACTGGCCACCCCTACAGAAGAGACTAACCAACCTCTACAAAGGTATCCACAACACCAACGCACTGATCATACCACCATATATCAGTAGTAACGCCAGAAGTGGAAGGAGACAACATAACCACGGCTATATCAACATACGATGCAACATCGACACCTACAAATACAGCTTCTTTCCAAACACCATCATGGAATGGAATGGACTACCATCAGAGGTCGTCGAGCAGCTGACTGTGGAGGCATTCAAGACCTCGCTCCACAGTCATGTTGCAGAGTGAATGTGGATCCTGTAAATAGTTTTAACTTTTTAACCTGTTTTTAACGAACTTATGTGGAAGCCACGCCACACAAGTCTACCTGCAAGTTGGTGCTGTTCGACGGCCCTTTGCAGTATCGCCGTAAATGTAAATGTAAAAAAGGGTGAAAGATTCTATTAATCTCTGCTTGGACATTATACTCCTGCTCATACAAATTCTTCTTCTTCCATTTACTGAATTGAACTGTTGATTTAAGGTTGAGGAGTGAAGAAGTACATAGTTATGTATAGTTATAGTTAACAGAAGCATGTATACATTTTTCAAATGTAGTCAACACAAAATTGAAATGTTTACATTCATCATCCCAGGGGTGTTTATCACCAAATAATGACCAAGTTCAACAGGTTGGATTCAACGGCGCATATGGGTAATAACCCTGCATTTGGGTAACAGTTACCCAGCTGAATTACAATTTTATTACTGAAATGGGGAATAAAGTGAAATAAAAACACACAAAGTTCTTTTACTCATCATGAACAGAAGAAAAAAGGTGTGTCAATCTTTCAACATTCAACATAATCAATTAAAAAATACAATGAGGTACATTTGTGCACAAAAATATGTTAATTCCGTTTTCATTTTTTTTGTGAAAATGACAAATTGTATCCCCTCCATTGCTTATAGTGTGCTGTAGAGAAGCTATAAATAGCACACAGAAAAAAAGTCATGCTTACCTGTTATGGATGGCCCCATTGCCTACACACTGAAGTCAATGCAAAACAAAGTCAGTGATATGGTTTGTCCTTTTCACAAAAAGTTCGACATCAGAATTGATACATTTTTGTGCACAAATTTATTTCATTGTGTTATTTATTGGATTTAGATTAATGCCCTTAGTTTTTACTCCAAGTGTTTAAAAGAACTTTGTGTGTTTATATTTTACTTTATTCCCCATTTCAGTAATAAAATTGTTACTCAAATGGGTAACTGTTACCCAAATGCAGGATTATTACTCATATGCACTGTTGTGCCAAACCTGTTCAACAGGTCCAGTTGCTCGAGTTTCCTTTGGCCATGACACCAGACTTAGACATTTAGACAGACAGGTGTCCATTTGTCAAAATGTTTAAGTCTGGTGTCGGGGCTAGAGGAAATTCGGGCTAGTTCTGGTCCAACCATTGCAGCATTCATTAATTACTTTGCATGAAAGTTCAAATACAGAAATGCTACCAGGATTGGGATTCAGAGTCTGATCCCTGGTTGGAGTGGGTACATTTGTTATAAGACTGGTGCTTTTGATCTAAATGATGGATTTAATTTTACACACACTACATTTACTTATATTTGTAATAATTCCATGCCTTCACTTGCTTTTATTGTCAATCTCCTTTAAGAATTGGTGTTCCTGCTGTACAGTCATATTCCACACAATGTGCTGTGAGAAAATATGGAAGATCACTGGGAACACACAAATTTCCAACACCATTTTGTTGTCAACAAGGTATGTCAACCCTTAATTAGCAGGGACCAATCTATATTTAGGAAAATGTTTGCACATTATAAACAAGAATCCTCACATCATGAAATTTGAAGTTTATTTTAAAATACATTAGAAATACATAATGTTTTAGTTACCTAAATTTTACAACAACCTGTTTCTTTATGAATTGTGGAAAAAAATGCATTATTTGTAATGAAATTGGGAATATATTCCTCAGTTTTTGGTGATTTTGGGAAAATAAGACCCTTTTTAGCTAGGGTAAACAGCCTGTATTCAGCAGTAAAACTGAGCGAATAAAATCACTGACATAGAATCTTTCCCTCCTGACTTTATTATATATATGACATTTTCACACTTTAAATGTAAAGTCTCAAAGGCAATTGGAAAACAAATCATTTTAGGGGAATTCTTTATACATTTGGTGAATTTTACACCTTAGAGGGAAAGATAAAATGCAGACATTTCATAGAGCAATAAGTACCAGCTGTTTCATTAAACCATATTTAAACACAATTAATGGTGACAGGGTAAAATTTAGGCAATGCATGTCTATAAGAGTAGGTTTTACTATATATGTATATACCTGTACTGCAGTTACAAAATGCAGCACATTTCTTTTACTTTAACTTTATTTCAGTGCGAACCATGTTCGTACAGACTCAGGATACACCAAACCCTAACAGTATCAAGTACCTCCCTGGAACATCAGTATTGGAGCAGGGGACCATGGACTTTCCTAATTACCAAGCTGCACACTGTTCTCCTTTGGCCAGGTATTTCTTTAACTAGATCATCACTAATCAAGTCACTCTAGTACTCAAAGAAAATGTCCAGATTAAGAAATTCTAATTTATTAAAACAAGCCTTAGCTTTTGTTGATCATGAATTGAATTCAGTCCAGCTTGAACAAAGTGCCTGCCGTCAGATATGTCCTACATCAAATTTTCGTGTAAGTTACTTTTTCCACAGAAGCATGCTTCTACTTTAAAAGTAGATGTCAACTAAATAAATTGATAATTCAAACTAACCCAAGGTACATACACTTAAGATGGGTTCCAATGGATTTTCAGCATTTTTCCCTTTTATGAAATCACAATGTTTATGTTATTCCGTCTTTGCGTATTGCAGAGTTATCTTCTCTTGGGAGCAGGTATTGATTGTTACGTCATTGGTTTGTGTGAGAAAATTACGTCGTTTTCTCAAAAATTGATGACGTTACTCTCACAAACCAATGACGTAACAATCAATACCTGCTCCCAAGAGAAGATAACTCTGCAATATGCAAAGACAGAATAGTAGTGCCTTTAATTTGGACATTTTACCAGGTAAATAACAAAAAAACAAAAACCATTCATCATTTACTAATTTGTCTCAATGTTTTGATCTACTAGACTGCCTTATTCACTTATACAAACAAGCATAACAGGCCATCATGTAATTATTGCAATTTAGTCAGCTTTTGAAGGCGTACTGTCAAACTGAAGGCATACTGTCAAGACTGAAATGACATGTCACATTGACCTTTATATGGAATGATTATAATGGGGAATAATATTTAGTTTTCAGGAATGCTTAACTGATGTTCATTTGAGATTATTGAGTGACATCCTAGGACCCCTTATCTTTATTCCTGTTAGCTTTAAATTCAATATATTAAATTGGTAATATTTCCATCTCTCTTCGAATTTAAAAAGCATATCTCACATTTGAACAAGTTCATGGGATGAAAAATGCAGCAATGCATATACAATTCAAAATAGGGAAATATTAATTGAACCATTTTGGGGATGGATCAATAGCTTTTACTAATCATTTCAATGCCACTGTATAGCATCAGAACACAATCCAGAAAGAGATAATGGAGAATCACAGCAAATCAGTTACCTGGTAAAAACCTATAAAATTTAATGAATTCCATGAAGGTGTAGTCAAGTGCAAAGTTCACAGATTTTATCAGAGTTACTTAAAATGATCACACAACATCACCTGTAGAGTTTGGAGGGGGCTAGTTTTACCCAAAGTACCTGTTAAATTAAAAGTCATGCTTTTCATTCCGTATTGTTTTCTGAATATTTTTGGTATTAGATGTATTTTTGAAGAGTAGCATTGAAACTAAAATTGATGATAACTTCTGATGTGTGTGTTATATTTCAGACAACTGTTCAGAATAGAAGGTGTAAAAGGAGTGTTCTTTGGTACAGACTTCATAACAGTCACAAAAGTAAGTCATGTTTTCTGTGGAACTGACTGCTTTACAGTACATGTACAATGAAACTGAGTGTTTAGTATAGTTGTACGCTTTAAAATTGTGTTACTGTACAAACAAGAGTAATTTGTGCACCTGTGTTATTTGTGCAGGTACTCTTTTGGGCTTAAAATATTGGAAAAAAACCTTACCGTAAAACCCCATGTAATTTGCGCACTTTTTTCCCAGAAATTTAATACCTAAAGCGGGGGGTGCGCAAAATACATAGGTATAAGCAATTTCATGTTTTTTTCATGAAAAGATCGACGATTCTGGCAGACCGCCATCTTTGACACGAGATAATCTCCCTTGGTACACGGAACTCGAAGACAAACGATAATCAACACATTTATTTATGTCAAACATCAATAAAAGATTCAATTGATACATACGGTGTTGTTACCTGAGTTTATGTGAAAAGTATTATTAAATAGGTAACTGTTAACAAAAGAAAGTTTAGCCAAATTCCTTTGCCAGAGAATCGCCGAGCAACTTACGTTTCGACATCTCGGTGCGTTTTGAACTATTCTATCTTGTGAAGAGAATAAAACTGATCATGAGAAAATTCTGTCTTTTCAAGATTGCTTACCATGCATTGATGATCTTTCTGGAAAAAAACCACTGAAAATATCTATAGCTATGTAATTTGCGCACGCCCACCTTCAAACTTTATTTCAACACAAAAAACTGCAAACTACACAAGTTTTTACAGTATCAAATATTACAAACTGTTCATTGTAACAAATGTTTTTCATAGATTAATAGATAGATAATGTATAAGATGTTTGGTGATTAGACTATCCAGTCTACTTTTGCTGTAGTGTACATGTTAGGATAGACTTTCATGAGTGTATAACATTGTTCTGTAGGGAATAAGTTGATTCCAGAGCATGTCATTTAAAAGCTTATTACCTTTCAGGATTAAATTTTCTCAAGATATAATTTTTTTCCACACCGTCAATTTTTTCCACACCATCTTTATGCGAAAATGGTGTATGCAAACATTTATTTCATAGCTTTGGATGGTCATGTCGTTTGTAAGAACTAGAGTGAGCTTCCTGAAATTTCCCTTGATCCAAAGTTATGTTTGTCAAACTTATATGACTTTATGGGCCATTGCATTGGTCACTTGCTATCTGTGGAATTTAATTACTGAACAATTATATGTAACATTTTCAAACTGATTCACCTTTATCACTGTTGTGTAGCTGGATGACGATGTGGAATGGAAGGTTCTCAATCCTCAGATATTTGCCACTATCATGGATTTTTTCGCCAGTGGACTTCCAGTTCTCACTGATGAACAACCTTCTTCCGATACAGGTACGTAATGTGTATTGTTTGAGTACAGATCTTCAGTGGGGTATTTAATCCATATGTTCCCTGTAAGATCTTATATACCCTTAGCTGAAGCTCACCTGCAGCTGTAAGATGTTATGAACCCTCAACTGTAGCTCACCTGCAGCTGTAAGATCTTCGAAATCTGAACTCATCTGCAGCTGTAAGATTTTCAAAAGCTGAAGCTCGTCTGCAGCTGTAAAATCTTCTGTACCCTTAGCTGTAGCTCATCTGCAGCTGTAAGATCTTCTGTACCCCTAGCTGTAGCTCATCTGCAGCTGTACGATCTATATGCCCAGTGATTTTTTTCACAGCCGAACACAGAGTCTTTCCCCTCGCAAAATAACTTGTTATTTCCCAAAGTGAAGAAAAAAAGAAAACTTTCTTCCCAATTTCAATAAAAATAATGCTTTATTTTCTTAATTCATGTATGACCAAGCTGTTAGAAAATTTAGGTAGAAAAATATTGTTTTTATCAGCTGTAACTCACCTGCCACAAATATAAGCCGATCTTATCCAGTTGTCTAGCGCTTATCATGGACTTTCTTTTGTACAACATTACCAGTTTGTATTTAAATTTGTATACATATATTACATTTTTGTATTATGATTTTTATAGATGTATACCATGATACAGTTTATGTTTACATAAAAAAAAATATTCTTAAACATATTTAAAACAAATATATTTTGCTTCATAATAAGTGTCTCTGATAACTGGAAATATTTGAAATCTTAACTTCAACATAATGGTTTTATCATCTTCATGTCAAAAAACCAATGAGAACATGAACTATCCCTAACTAACCTCACCAGAAATACATTTTATTTTTTTAATAGCCATAGACGAAGATGATGATGAAACTGTGTTGATGATTAAGGAACTGCTTGACACCAGGATAAGGCCTACTGTACAGGAAGACGGTGGTGATATTGTCTACATGGTAACATTCTAACACACACAAGTATTTCCCAGGGGGCTTTAAAGCTATTTTTCGCAATGGTAACAGCATCCCTTCAGTAAGGTATTCTTGGGACAGTAATCAAAGAATTTTTGTATACCCCTGCCAATTCAGATAGTTTATATATATATATATGGTCATCACTTTGTTACTTGGTGTTGTCCATATGTTAACACCTTGTCTGGCCAAAACTTTTAATCTGCTCAGGATATTTTTATGAACATTTATAGATGTATGTGATCATGACTAAATAGTATGTTACACAGGGCTGATGAATGGGATGGTTCCTGAAAAGTCAAGTTAATTACAAGGGTGAAAGTAATGCATGCCTGACCCACAGCTTATGATATCCTCTTACTTTCGATATAAAGCTTCAAAGCTGTGCTTATCACAGCTAGACAGTGTTCCATGTGACACTATCACGTCCTTAGCCAAGAGGTCAAAATCAAGTAAATGGGTCAAATGTTAAATAATGATAATCTGAACTGCAGTTTATGATCACTTTATTTCAACTTTAATTGATCAATTACCAAAAGGTTAATATCAACACAAGAAGTCTATGGTTAGATAGTTATAATGTTCAAGGTTAAGGTCATTTTTAGCTGCTATTGATGGGTTGTTTTCTATGGTAAATTTACAATTTCACATTATAGATTATATGCACAGCTTACAGATGGAATAAAGAGGATATACGTAAGGGCATGGTGTCTATACCCTAGACAGTGCATGGTCATCATCTGTCGTCATTTTTTTTAAAAAATAGACTATTTAGTGCGGGTCTGAGGGGATTTGACTCATTTTGGTCTGGATCATCGATTTGATAAAGGGACTCAAAAATGTAGAAATTGATCATGAGGGTGTGGATGCCTCAGGATAGACAGGGTCCAATAGGAGAAATAAATTTAGAATCTTACTCTTTCTGTGGCAGTAAAAGGACTTTTATAAAGTTGATAGGGTTATACTGGAACATCCTTTGGACAAGATGACTCAACATTGTAAGTAGAGGGTGTACCCCCAATGGAAAAGAGGGGCAGAGCAAAATAGGTTAAGATAAAGGAAGATTTTGAAAATCCTACTCCTTCAATACAAGCGTGAAGGATTTTAATCAAATTTAGTCTTGTAATTGAGCATCTTTAGGCCAAAAAAAGGTGCAACTTGGCTACCAGGGTTGACTACAGAGTCCAGCCATGTCCCTGGGGACTAAATCCTTAAATAATATTATACATAGAAACCTTTAAAAATCCCCCATAACTATACATTGGTATACTATTGCCGAAGTGACAAGCTCTTGTTAATTCATAGTTTTATATATTATGTAAATCCTTAAGACACTTTTTTGTTGTACAGGGTTTTGAGGATGGTATTGTGAAGCTAAAGCTTCAAGGTTCCTGCACCAGTTGTCCAAGCTCAGTGGTGACCTTAAAGAGTGGAGTGCAGAACATGCTACAGTTCTATATACCTGATGTCCTTGGTGTAGACCAGGTGAGAATATTGTATACTCTGACAAGGGAAATAACTCTAATCTAGAAAAGGACATTTTTGTTGCTTTATCTATGTAAAGATTTATATTGCATAGAAGTTGATAAAAAACTGCTCTGAAGTGGAAAATTTCTTTAGCTTGAAGTGAGGTTCCCTTTATCTTAAAGCACTTCTTAGTAACCCTAGGATGATGTAATTTGGCCAGTAGCATTTGATTCTGCTTGAATGGCCTTGAATACCTGCCTGGGTCTAATATGTTAAAACCTTTTAGCCTGTAGCATGCCAAGATAAAGGATATAAAGTTTCATTACATTCGTTAAAATAAGCATTACCCCACTTTCAAGGTCATGGTGGTCAAATATATTAACATGTCTTAGAAATTTCTTCTGAACAACCAATAGGTCCAGGGTCAGGATGTGTGGGCAGAAGTATGCTGGGATAAAAGTCATTTGTCCATATTTCTTCATATATTCCTTAACTTGGAAATGGTTGAGATATCCAACCTATAACCATATGTCTGCTTATATACTTGGCATGAAAAGACAAACAAAATTAGGCTACCAGGATTGATCCTACGCCAGTTCCTTTGGTCATAATATGGAAACCCTGAAGATCCATACACTATTACTTTGTATACAAGAACAGGACATGAAAAGCCTCATGTTATATATAGAGTGGAATTTTAATTTCCCTGTTTTTGAGTTCAATATACACTAAAATTCAAATAGCGAAAGTTCGAAGAAGTCTTATAAAATGTTGATAACAGTTTTTCTGTTGATTTTCACTTTAAGCACGAGAAAGCTTCCTAGAGTATTGAAATGATAATGATTGTAGTTAATTCTGAGTTAAACGTAAGTCGGATTGGTGACAGGCACAGCAAAATACCTAAAATCCACACCAGTCAGGAGGTCCTTGTATACACGAATCATTATGCGTTTCCATAGCTCCCAAAATGAAACTTTTTGTGAAAAATTACCAACTTTGCGATATGGCTGAACAGGAGATGACCATTTCTTTTGGAATGACAACAGTAATTTTCTTTGATATGTAAAGTTGGTAATGGAATGTGCATGTATATTTATCAACAGGTGGAGGATGAAGTTGATGATATCAACAATACAGAGTTTATAAAACTGGAAGAAAAGCTTGGAGAAAAGTCAGGAGACACCTAGAACTCAACTGTATAACATGCATACAAACCTTGTTCTTCATAGAATTGTAGACAGTTATGAATTGGTCCTAAACATCTCTACAATGTGGATCCATGGATTCCTACAAGTCAGTTATAAACGTCTGAAGATAACTGAGAACGCTGAATCAAGTTGGATGTAAATTATTGACTCTGCAGTATTAAACAGACATTTACTGATTCCGATCCTTCCTATCTATATACTTCATACAGAACTTGGTAAAGCCTTTATAAGGAATTGAGATGACATGCTTGATCAGAACTGTTTTTGTGTCATTAATATAATAAATGAGTATGCTTATTATCTCATGAAAATTGCTGAGATGGTGTTTTCCAGTGTGTTTATAAAACTGACTGATTTAAAATACATATGCATCAATGTAAAGGATTTTATGTGTAAATTGTGGAAAAAGTCTACAAGATTGCAATATAACAGTCCTTTTATTAGATAAGACATAGAGGTTGCCCATTTGAGTAATGGTTGGTTTTTATATTTATCTAACTCGAGTAAGTTAATCGTCAAATTGTATAAAGACACATGGTTTACCGAGGGTCTTTTACAATTTGAAAATTAACTTACGAGAGCTAGATAAACATGATAACCAACCATCATGACTTTGGGGACCTTTTCCCCCATGAAGTTCGTATTATATCTAGAAAACCAAATGTTTCCCTTAAGATGTTTCTGTTTCCTGTTTAATAAACTATTGCCAGTCACATGAATCATGTTGTCACAATTTAAGATGACAGCACAGAGCATTGTCATGTGACATCATATTTCAAAGATTAACCAATGAAATAAGGTCCTAGGTGTTACCCACTAGTGGCTAACGAGAAATGTTTACCAAGCACGTTTATGTTCACAGTGTAACAAAACATATGTGGTTAATGGTTTATCATGATCTCCAGTGTAGTACGTGCTTTTCCAGACAAAAAATGAGCAGACAATTCAATAAATAATCTATTGAGACCTGATTAGTATGAAGGGTTAAACTGCAATACTAAGTTTTTAAGGAAAAAATGAGTCAAAAGATATTTACTTAATGTGTTGATAAGCAAGTTTCTACTTAATCAGTTCAAAGGAACAGTGATGCCATAACAAATTAAACCAACTGTAAAGAATCTTTGTAAACTGTTTAAGAAACACAGGAAATTATGATTGTATGACATGAATAAGTAGGTGTCAAATTGTCCCAATGCAAAAGAAAAATTAATTGACCCAATCTGAGACATACTCTAAGCTTGCCTGGCACAGAATGCCTGTAAGTGTTGTTGCACTGTCTGTCATTGGCCTATTTTCAAGGTTATATTGGTAAAAAAAAAAAGACTTTTTTTAAATGATGTGAACAAGCATGTGGCCTAGGGTCACGAAATTTGGCCCATACTATTCCGTCTTTTGCAATACCTGCTCACAAGAGAAGATAACTGCGATATGCAAAGACGGAATACAAAGACGGAATACTGTGATGAAAAGTTATGAAGTATTTTCGATTAGCATGAACTTGACTTTCATTAAAAGTAATATAGGTGTCATTGTGTAAGAACATCCAAGAGGTCTAGGGTCATGGCATCTTTGGTCCCATGGGAAAATTGTACTTGCACAAACAAGTGTAAGTGTGATTTTCCCCTGGGAACGAGGATGGGGTCATGGTTATTTGCCGAAAACATGTTGGTTGAAAGGTTTGATGTTGACCCACTTTTAAGATCACAGAGGACATATGTCTCACACGTTTGATGAAATCCATCTGAATAACCAACAACAGCTCCTTAAATTTGAACCTTGACCCTCGTATAAGTTTACAAGGGTCAAATAAATTAAAATCTTTAAACAGCTTTTTCAGAATACTGGTATCATTGATTCACTTTGAAGGTTGAATGGGTAGTACATGTATAAGTTGTACTCTTCCGGCAAAAAGTAATGAAATTTAGCCTGTACAGTGTTAGCTTGTTTGTTATAAGGTTTGTTTAAATAAATTTGACTGACCAATTTTGCCAATATATAGGTGAGTGATACAAGCTAAATGAGCCTCCTCTACGAAGATTACATTAGATATTGTGTTCGGTAGAAGTTTCTAGTTATACTCACCTTACTCAGAAAACTGAAAACTTTCACCCGTGAAAGCTTTTTTCTTCCAGTGTTATTTTTGCCTTTCACAATTAATATCTTGATTGTATATTATGTTCTTTATCTATATTCATGGTAATGGTAAATTCACCCTCATTATATATTAAAGTATTAAACAAAGTGTAGCTGAATCGAGTCATTTCGGTACATATATATAACAACTATTGGCTGGGTTAAAAGAACTTTCCATAATCCATTACCCATAATGAGGGTCGCTGCAAAAAAAGGCAAAAATTAAACTGCAGTGAATATTTCCAGGTATACAGTAATCATGGCCGAAGCACTTTATTACTATGATATGGGTCTGTGCCCTTCTGTCTCTCAACCTTTTGACATATTTATGTTGGAGTTAAGATACAGATCCCAAACCGAACAAGATTGTTCTGATGTGGGTCTGACCAATGCACTGTATGCTTGTTCTTTAACTGTTGTGTAACCGTTGAATATTAGGGTGCTGGTTACTCTAGTACATGGTCTCTATTTGAAGTTTCATTCATTTTAAGTGTGGGGAATTATTTCTTAAATATGGCACAGTATTATGATATTAAGTCTATAAACCAGGAGATACAAAACCTTAAAGCAAAAAACATAAATCCTGTTATCTATAAGGTTATAAACTTACAGAATTTTGATGCATGTGCTGTCTTCTTAATTATGACAATAATACCATCAGTTATATACCATGTATTTATTAATTTGTTTTTGTTGTTTTAGAGTTTTTTATCATTAAGTGATGGTCCTGGAGTTTGAGTTGGGCAATTCTCTTTCATAATTCACACTAGTACAAGTCACTTATAGTTCTTTTCAGTCACACGTGGCTTTTAACATCTTGCTTTTAACGCATGACAAATGGCCCCTAGGGTCTAACCAATCACCTGAGTTTTGCTCTTTTTTGTCATGATGTGTAATGGAAATAAGCATGTACGTATAACAAACAAGATATTTAATTACTGATATTTCAGGAAAAAAACACCAATATCCATTCAAATAAATTACTCTAAAAATGTGAAATAGTATTTTTTGTCATTTTTAGCTCACCTAGCCTGAAGGGCCATGTGAGCTTATGCCGTGCTGCGGCAACTGTCGTCCGTCCGTCAATTTTTCCTTTTAAACCACTTCTTCTGAAGAACTGGAGGACCTAGGGTCATGATATTTGGCCAGTAGATACATGGGATGGAGTGCTATAAAGTTTCCTCATTAAAATGACATTGACTTACTTTCAAGGTCACAGGGGTCAAATATGTTCACAAATTGAAACAACAAGATCCTAAGAACCATTTGGACTAGAGTCATGATACTTGGGTATGTTATGTAGACCAGCAGAGCAAATCTTTTTCTTAAATACAGTGATGAAGTCAATGATCAACTTAAGTGCTAGTCGGGGGTCAAATGTCAACAACGGTTAAAAGCTTTAACAATCTTCTTCTCAAGTTCCATAAGGCCCAGGGTCATGATATTTGGCCAGTAGGTACCTGAGATGGAGTGCTATACAGTTTCCTCATTAAAATGGTATCGACCTACTTTCAAGGTCACAGGGCTCAAATATGTTAAAAACTTCAAACAACATCCTGAGAAGTATTTGGACTAGAGCCATGATACTTTGGTATGTTATGTATACCAGCAATGTGAATCTTTTTCTTAATTACAGTAATGAGGTCAAAGGTCAACTTTAAGTGCTAGTTGGGAGTCGAATGTCAACGACGGTTAAAAGCTTTAACAATCTTTTTCTCAAGTTCCATAAGGCCTAGGGTCATAATATTTGACCAGTAGGAACATGGGATAGAGTGCTATAAAGTTTCCTTATTAAAATGACCTTGCCCTACTAAAATGTCGCAAACTGGATCGAGAGTTTCCTGACCGGTAGAACTCGGACAGTAGTAGTTGAAGGGGAGAAGTCTGATTTTGTCGATGTCCATTCCGGGGTACCCCAGGGGTCAGTTTTAGGACCCAGTTTATTTCTTTACTTTATAAACGTATTTGCAGACGACACTATTGTATATCTAATTATACAAGTCAAACAGTGATGCTGAAACACTTCAAAACACTTCAAAAAGATCTTGACAAACTAGCGCTCTGGGAAAATACATGGAAAATGATCTTCCACCCAAACAAATGCAATGTGTTGTCGGTGACTAAAAACAAAACTCCAATAGTCCATAATTATACTTTACATGGACACATACTGGAACATCTTAGTCAGGCCAAGTATCTGGGTGTAACACTATCATCTGACCTTAAATGGGATTCACATATAAATACTATCTGCCCAAAAGCAAATTCTACGCTAGGCTTTTTAAGACGAAATCTTAAAATTGGCTCAACATCAGCCAAAGTACAGGCATACAAATCATTAGTTCGACCATCACTTGAGTATGCCTGTACAGTATGGGACCCTCACACCCAAACAAATATTGACAAGTTGGAAATGGTCCAGCGAAGGGCAGCGCGCTATGTGCTCAATAAGCACAGGTACAACCATCGTACCTCCAGTGTGTCAGAAATGTTGGACCACCTAAAGCTGCGCCCTCTAGCAGATAGACGTAGAGATGCTCGTCTGACCATGCTTCATAACATTGTAAACCAGAAAGTCGCTATCGTAAAATCAGACAGATTAATCCCTACAGTTAGAAAATCCCGAACAAACCACCAGTTTTCGTATCAAATTCCCCACTCAAAAACCCAGACCAGAAAGGCATCAATCTTCCCTCGAACTATACCCGAGTGGAATAAACTCCCACCTGAGATTATTTCGAGCCCCACAACGGAATTATTCAAATCAGCCCTCTACCGTCACTTTTCAAACGCAAATTAGACAATCTCGTATCTTTTAAAAACAATCTCTTTCCATGTTTCACTCCTCGTCTGACATTTTATCTTCAAATTGTTGAAGTTGGTCAGTACCATTTAGAAGTAGAAGTAGAAGGTCACAGGGCTCAAATATGTTAAAGAACCATTTGGACTAGATTCATGATATTGGGGTATGTTATGAAGTGCGAATCATTTTCTTAATTACAGTAATGAGGTCAAATGTCAACTTTAAGTGCTAGTCAGGGTTCAAATGTCAACATAGGTTAAAAGCTTTAACAATCTTCTTCTCAAGTTCCATAAGGCCCAGGGTCATATTTGGCCAGTATTTTTCTTGATTACAGTAATTAGGTCAAATGTCAACTTTAAGTGTTAGCCGGGGTCAAAGGTCAACGTGGGTTAAAAGCTTTGAAATAACAAAATAACAATTTCAAATTTCAAACAACATTATCTTGAGCGTTTAAGAAATGTTAAAATGTCTACCAAATTTAGTTACCAAATTTGGTCTGAAGTTACCTATATGTCCGTTTCATGTAACAAATGAAACAGGTGAGCGATACAGGTCCTCTGGGCCTCTAGTTCTCCATAATGATTTAGTTAATAAAGCAGGCCAAATGCACCCAATGGCCAAACAGTGAGAAAATAGCATAAGCACCATATTTACTTCTATTTCCAGGTGCTTCCATAAGAAAGATGCATGAAAGCAATATTTCCATCCAAGCGCGGTACTTTTTTAATTTCTCAACTAGGGGAGTTAGAGACCTGCTATGATGAATTTTAATAGTCTTTGATATTTTAGTGTTTGTAGATTTTTGTTGGGTTTTTTTTAACTTAAAGTCAATTTTTCTAGGAAATTTTAGACGTATAAATCTTAACATAATAAATTCAGTCGGCATGTGGACTGCATGACCAACATCAATAATAAAGCATGTCTCAAAGAAATCCGAGTAGAACCCAATGTAAGTACGTGGTATCGTTGCTGTTCGTGTGGCAATGCAACTAACAATGATGTAAATGTATGTTGAGAGATTTCTACCTAAGATACCCTTAGATATGCTGTTTTGATGTTACCGAGATGTGAAAAACATTCAAACCATGCGATAGCATTGCAATTTTTAGATCGAAGTTTGTGGACATTTTGTAATTTATCGATTGGTACGATCAAGACAGAAAGTACTAAATATTTGATAAATCGTTTTAGATGCCAACTTGATTTTCATTCGTGGCAGAGCTACTAAAACTTTGATTTAAATACACAAAGAACGTCGGTAACCTTTCATTATTATACACTGTACAGGGCGTAATCGGGGCAAATCGTCAATTTTCTTCCAATTAGTGAACAGTATTCGTCAGTTTACTTACTTAAGGGACAATAGCTAAATTAAGGCTAAAACCAGTTACTCTAACAAACTAAGAAGTCTTTAAATACAGATATGACTTAGATAGTTTGAACGCCTAGAGAGTTGACTATGAAGGTGAGCAAGGGCTAATGTGTTCATTGAATAGTTTTGAATAAAGTCTCCAGTATTATCTTTAATTTTCAGTCGCTGTACACATAAACAGGCGAACGACACAGGCTATTTGGCCTCTTTTTCTTATTATTCACTTTTCATAAACTAACCAATTTCGAACATATTTTTCTTTTAAACACTATCGAAGTCTAGATTTATAAGTGCCTATGTTTAAACATGTATCTTTAACCGGAGCAGGGATAAAACACAACAAACGTTATTCAGAAAACATTATTTTTAATAGATGAAGTGAGAATATATCTAGTTTCATTTAGAGTTCATCGGTTAATACGAAAGTAAACAGTGAGGATATCTTGAAATACTTGTTGCCGATATCTTGTACAACCTTATCGACAGAGAATAGAGATTGTTTTTGACAGGAATAAGACTAACTTGATGATAATTGCTGGGAAACATTGAACTAATTGCGTTATTGCACATTTTACTGATATGTAATGTGTAAATGATAATGTTCGTACACAAATTGGGCATTATTTTTACGTTTAGCATTGAAGCTTTGTGACCAAATGTTCCCAAACTATCTTAAACGTACACATCTGTTAGTGAAGATGTCCTGGTTTTTTAATTGAGCTGTCGCATTGTCCCGGTATATGAATCCCAGTCAAACTGCTTTGAACTTCCGAGACTTGATTTTTACTTGTTGGGAAATTTCAGATTGTTTTTACCGGCTACATGTCCTCTGCCGTCCATGTCAATCACAGTGCCATCCAGTGTGATAGCCACTAGTTTAGGAATACCTGTTACAGCGTACTTTGTGGATAATGCGTCCTGAAAATAATAATAGTAGTATTCAGGGAACATTTAAAACATGAACAAAACAATGTGTACTTTAATGGATAGAGACGTACATTCATTCTATTAGAAATTGTTATATTGGTTTAAGTGTTCGCTTTCATGATTTGTTAAAGCTATGTCATATGCAACGACGAAGCATATTGGAGTGACATGATTGTTCAATCCATATCAAGAAAATTCACAAAATAGATCACCAGGAAATAGACCAAAAGTAGCGGTAACCAGTCTATAGCTATATGGTAAAATTTAAATATCCGTCATATATGACGGTCATAATTTCTGCAGGTGAACTATGAACATGTGGTAATAAACTTCTTGGAAGGTTAGCAGTATAGGTTGTATGTATGTTTATCACATATTCAGACAGGGCTTACCAGAAACTGATTTATACAGCTACGGCTTATCATTTCCCATTCATGCCGAGTGGCTGAGCATAGATAATATGAATTAAAGCGACGGACACTGTTTAATCTCCTTATTTTGGATATATACGTGTATATGAACGTGTAGACATACTATGTCCTTAAAATGCAACAGTATGTCATATCACAGGGACATGATAATTTGTTACAGCTATATTTAGACCTAAACTAAGGTGTTCATCTAGTTTGACATGTTTTAGGGGTTTCGGTAAAAACGCCACCCCAATGATATAGTAATAATTTCTCGGGTCCATGTGTATCATATGTATGTGTGTATGTATGTTTAGCTGGTTTTAAATTGACAGTAGCTTTTTAGCCGATTGCATAAAATATCAAAATGCATAATGCGATATAATCACCTAATGATACACAATAAATCGATGATAGGTAAGGGATTTGAAAATATTACAATTTTAGTTGGCGTGAACATCGACGCTATAAAAAGTATATTTTCCTACCTCCAACATGTTGGATGGCTTTAGTTATTCCTGTTACTGAGGTAGTCTGGGACAATCAAAGTAGCCACATTTATTATCTCTATTTATTAGACAAATCTAACCCTTTGGTTTATTTTTGGTTGTATTTCTAACAGTTTAAATGTAGATTTATTTTGAGTTTGAAATGATAAAACAGCTTTATATATTATCAACCAGCTACGGGGATTCCAACAAAAATATTAATAGACCGTGATCGTTGACATATCTTATGTAGCCTTTTTAAAAAATCCTGACAAAAATTATATATACATACAGGATCCCCTGAATGAGAATCGGAAAGAAAATTAAATGACATTCAAAATATCTTTAATTTTGCATTAGATATTGTGAGGTTCGGAAAACATTACTGCAATGACAATGTACATGTATTGTAATATATTTCTTATATATATATATATTGCAATCGAATTTTCAGCTAAAGATTCCTTTTTTGCAACTAATAAAATATATTTAGCTATGCTGCAATATTCCCTATGAATTCAAATTAAATTCAATATGAAAATTGGTTGCAATTCCCACCACTAGATAATTATGAACATTTGCTTGTTACTATAATTGTTCGGAAAGTATTAAAACGATCTTAATAGAAAAATGGACTGCTTAATCCCCTTTGCTCTTAGTTGTGCATGTTCAAGATGGTTCCGAAGAACGGAATTATCACCAGTTAATCATCTTTGATACTGCATCTCAGATTTGTCATTGCCAATTTGTGCTCAAAAATTTATAAATTCTGATGATGAAAATAGTTTTAGTAATAAATTACTAAATGTTATCATAGAAAAAGCCCCTCAACTTTACCTGATTTGCATAATCCTTTTCTTAAATGTACCCTTACATGGGTTTGTTCTAGAAGAGAACAATGACACGAAGAGAAAATATCTATACCATAAACCAAGATCTTTCAAAGGAATGGGCCAAAAGTCCTCAGGAATTCCTTGTCTTATTTGATATTTCAGAATGTTCTTCAATTGGCTTAATCGGGCATAAAGTCATAATGTCATTTAAACATAATATTAATTTATATGTCAGATAGGCATCGTGTAAAACCTACCTTGAGCTTTCCCAGGTTTTCCCATGTCAGAGCATACCAGGGCATTTCTGAATAGTACGCTGTGAAATCTCCTTCACTCCTATCTGAACTGACAAACACGATTTCGAATTCTTCTTCCGTTTTCTTTTTGTACACTTCACTCAACTTAGGGGTAAAGCCTCGGCACGGTGGGCACCAATGAGCGGAGAAATACAGACCTTTTTAACAGAAAATGTATTTTGTACTGATCACACTATCATCATTCTTTCAAAAGATTTAAGTGACACAATTGTTATTTTAGCACAACTTAGTCGGAATGCCTTGAAACTTATGAGGTGATCTGTCGTCCGGCAATGGATTTCTTTTGGGAACTATTGAGACTTTTCATGGTAATTGGCTGTTGACTTCCTAGAGTGCATCCTGACAAACTTTACGACAAATAGCCTTGATCTATTCTACATGTCCTTCAATGTCACATAGGAAATAGCGGCGTCCGTCGTCCGTACGTCAACCTTTCCCTTAAAAAACTACTAGTCCTGAACGACTCAGTGGGTTTTGAGTAATTTTGGCCTGGAACTCTTTTGGGCAAAAGGGACTCAATTTTGTATTAAAAAAGTGTATGCCAAATAGGGAAAGTCTAGGATAACCTTTAAAATCCTCCTCCTTTAGTTTGATTGGAGGGATTTTATCCAAATTTGGTCCAAAACATCATTAAGCAAGGAGGACTCCATTCTGAATAGATGGAGAGTGTGGTCGCCATGGGGTTTGATCGGAGGGATTTTAACCAAATTTTGTTTAGAGCATCCTTGGACAAAGGGGACTCAATTTCGTATCAATGGAGGGTTGCTTTTGAGCGGCAGAGTGGCGGGGACCAAAAGGGAAAATTGAAGTAAATGTTGAAAAACCCATCCCAATACATTGGTGCAGAAAGAATGACCCTATCAGGGACGGGTGTTGTAGAGAGACGGAACAAATGTTTGGAAATAGTTGCAGTTTTATATTCAATAAGAATAATTTACTGTTGTTGCGTTATTAACAATACAGGCTCTCTGTGCCTCTTGTTGTATCCACGTGACATAAGTATTCTCCCACAAAATTAGTGGAATGATGTAGATACTGACCCTCCTGAGGCTGAGAAGGAGTGTCAAAATGAGCCATAATTGATTATAAGCTTTAAATATAATTTCCTCTAAAACTGCTGGACAACTTTTTACCAAATTGCAGTGGGAACATGTTTAGCCTAGTGGCATCAGAAATTATGTAAATACACTGACTGGACATTTTATGGGTCGAATTGGTTTGATCTAAACTACATCTTCTTCCAAGCTAATTGTAAATTTTCAACCAAATCGTGTTTGTTGCATGATTAGTCATAGGGACCAGACTTCATGTTAAAAGGGGCTGATTGACGGGTTTAAATAGGCCCAGTTCGCGGATTTTCTTTAAATGGCATCACCCAAACTACTGAATATGTTTTCATCTAAGTTGTAGCGGCAGCATGCATATCCCTTTGAGCTCAATATCTATACAAGTAATTAACTTTGGGGCAGGGTAAAAGGTGTAAAATGGCTGAATGGCTTAAAACTACATCTCCCAAACTACCAGACAGGTTACAACAAACTTATGGTGATACAATGCTCAGCTTATGATAGTAATCAGTTATACAAATGGTCTAAGGGGAAAGGTAAAAGTGTCAAATAGCTTAACTTGCTTAAAATAAAGGACTGGTGGTCTGAGTGGCAGGGAAAACAGTAATTTTACGATTATGTTATAAATGATATTCCCCCAAACTACTTGACAGATCTCAACCAAATCGTAGTGACAGCATACTTGTTCTTACCCACAAGGGGTCAAAGATTTTACAAATATAGGGACTGACTCTTGTTGGGAATCAGGAGCAGTTTCACAAGTTGTCAAACTAGCTTATCTGATTAACACGCCTTATTACCCCGATAACTCTTAAAGTTTCAACTAAATACAGCCGTTAGCATCCCTTCAGTTGATGGTGATTAAATGTTATGCAGATAAAGGCGCTGTCCCTTCTTGTAGCTTAGGAACGGGGTCAAAAAGAGTCATATTGGCTGATTTGTTTAAACGAAATATCTTCCAAAACAAAACTGCTAGACAGGTTTCAACCAAATAATGGTAACATCCTAACCCATTTATAATAGAGATAATGTGGCTAACAATGTTGGGGTATCCTCCCAAATTACTGAGTAGGTTTCAACCATGCACGCTTTCAAAATAGCCAGGTAGTTGATATTCATCCCTCTTCGTTTGGTTCAACAAAAGCAACAACAACAGCAACCCCTAAAGATGGTATGGTATAGCTTTCCATACTGCCAGAGCAATAAATGTACAAGTTGTATATATTACTTACATATGCCAGTTTTTCCTTCCAGCGCTTTCTCTATGGATACTTTTTCCGTGCCTTTCATTAAAGTATCTCCCAAGAGTGCTTTCAACTCGGCCATGTCGATGTGAGTAAGCAACAAAATTATCTGAAACGCAGTAAATATATCGTGTTATTTTATATAATACCATAAATATTTTGTTTTTTAAACCATGTGAACATTTAATAACAAACATAATATATCGGGCGGACTGAAACAAACATAGTATACACTGCTACATTTGCACATTTAAGATACATCGATCATTGATTGTATAAGAGTACCTTAGGAAAACATCATTGGAATACATTTTATTTGAACATTTACGTTCAAAATTGGAAGTACTATATATGCTTAGATAATGTCTTTTCAATATCAAATAAAATGCACAAGAGTATAATGGCACAGGGACATGAGAATTTGTTACAGCAATATTTGGCCCCAAGATAAGGTGTTTAGAGTAAAAATACCTCCCCCAATGATGATAATCGTATATCAATGATGATAATCGTATATTATCATCATTGGGTGGCATTTTACCGAAAACTGATCTAAACCTCTAAAACGTGTAAAATTTCTCGAAAAACTTTACGTTAGGTCCAAATATAGCTGTAACAAATTCAGTTTGTACCGCACATACGGATTATATTGTTTATCGTATCTAGGGTAAACAACAAACAACGTTAGCCAGCTAGTCATCTATTGACAGAAGTATTTACTGTACACACACGTATGGACTCGTGTAGAGATAATCAAAACTGCGTTGGCCAGTAGTTCATTTGTAATTCTACTACCAAGAACTTTCTAATCAGATGACGACATAGTAGTGCCGAGTGAGTGGGTTACTAGCGCGCTGATAGGTATGCTTTACTTACACACTCACTCGAATGGTTCGGAAATAAATAACATATCATTTTAATTCCTGTTATAGATATTTAAAGGAGTTCAATTCCTGCAATAGATATTTAAAGGAGTTCGATTCCTGCAATAGATATTGAAAGGAGTTCAATTCCTGCAGTAGATATTTAAAGGAGTTCAATTCCTGCATCAGATATGTAAAGGAGTTAAATTCCTGCAATAGATATTTAGAGGAGTTCAATTCCTGCAATAGATATTCAAAGGAGTTCCAGCCACCATAGACTTCGACCCCATTGGGTTCCTGCTTTAACGTTGGTAAAACAATCTAGAAAACGTCAGGGTTTCTTGATTAAAAACGTTTTCAAAGTTTTAAAATTGGATGTTGAATATTTTAACCTTATTCTATCGCTACCATAAATTGTAGGGGAAAAAAACTAAATTCCTGGTACCGTAACAGTGCGGAATCGTCTCGGGTTTCTAGTTAACGTGCCTGTCGAGATGCACAATACCCGGCTGAACTACTGAGCGAGTCCTAGGGTTATACCGTTGTTACACTAATTTGGTTTACTCTACATAAAGCCTCGTCAACATATTTTGATAACTTATGTTGACATACGTAACTCGTTAGTCGATGGCATAAATATGCCATCGTATCCTTACATGACCTTTTTGCATAATCTGAGCAACATAGACGTCGGGTTTATTTTCCTAGATATTGAACACATTGGAAACTGATAAGAAGATCTTGTGTAATTAATACCATATAGCGGAAGCGGGAACAATAACTTTAATTAATTCACACGACTTATGATACAAGTTATTTCAACTTACGTTAACCACTATCTTGTTAGCGCGCGGTGGTGTAAATGTGAGAGGTAACCGGAGAACCCGGAGAAAACCCACGTGGTCGGGAAAGTGACCCAATAAAAGTGACACCATGCATTTCACGTCAAATCGGGGAATCGAACCCAAGCTGCCTTGGTGAAAGGCGAGTGCGTTATCCACTGCGCCACCCGACCACCCGAATCGAGCCATGTAGTAAATCATCAGGTAACAAAGCAGAAATGAAATAAACAATGTGTCATACTATTATTCTATTATGGCCCTTTCCCAAGGGAACTGTTCTCTTATAGTGTTGTCTGAAGAGGCACTATACCTCTCCAGACAACACTTTAAGAGAACTGTTCCCGAGGGAAAGGGTTATAATAGGTTTAGTACATCACATGACTGTCATTTGACAATAAAAAGTAACATATTTAATAATTAACAAATGGCAATCAGATAATTTTTTGAGTAGATCTCTCCTTTTTTGTTGCGTATTCGATTCACTGAATTGAAACACCGCTAGGTCACATACGGTTCCCCTATCCAGTATGAAGTGTTTAAGGACTGCGACGTCAAATGATGTCGCCTGCTTCGTCTTTATGCATTGCTGAGCCTCTGCGAGGCAATCGGTATTCATGGTCCCGATATTCGAAGTCATTTTGGCAGACGACAACAATGAAGTGAAAGAGTAGAATATGTACAGCGCCCCCTAAGTATAGTTCCCGTTGTCAAGGGCGGGTGCTAACTATACCAAATAGAACAAGGGTAGTTATCCAATAGCTATCCTAGAAATTATCATGTGATGTACTAATACTGTACAGGAGCAAGAAAGGGAACGATGTTTCAACAAGTTATGCAATACCTGGTTTAGTACATGTAAACTCAACGGTGATTGATAAAGAACCACTGAATAGGTGTGCAAAAATTGCTCATTCGGCTTTATTTCTTTTTATTTGTCAAACAAAAACTTAATTACACAAATGGTAATGGCATTTAATTCATACTTTGCACAAAATTGTTTTAAAAGATGTGTGTTTTCGTTAATAAGTGCAACAATATAAACAATATATCTATTAAAGTGGAAACGGAAGTACAACTCATAACTCAATTAAATATGCATGGATTCTGTTATTTTTGGAGCTTGATTGAACATTGCCATTTTGCAAGCACATCAGAAGTTGGAGTGATCCATAAATATTACAGCAGTTATAATCCGGATTGCATCAGCAACTTAACCTACATAGGAAGTAGTATTTAAGTACAATTATTGGTTATGCCAAGTTTGACGTAAATTATTTGTGGTGGGTGGACGGACGAACAAAACACAATATCTCACTTGTTCGAAAAAGAAGAGAGCACAATGAGAGTCATAATACTACTAATTAACTATGTGAGCAGGAAGCTTTCAAAAAGAAGGATATCAACGGTCACCAATTTACAAGGCAAATAATACAAAGTTAATGCTGTAAATACGAGTTTCCTCCTACTGGCCGGGACCACAATTTAACCTGAGACATAGGATGTAATTAAAGAGTTTGCTTAGAGATATTAATATCATGCTAGATACGTTCCTTAACTCTATTATCGATATTTACAAAATAAGTTATTTAGTCTAAAAAATAATATTTATGATAGTTTGTTCCGTGTGTGTATTTGAGAGTGGAAACAGTAAAGAGTATGAAATATTATTGAGAAGTGTATGTTTTAAAGGACATTCCCTCCCGAATTTTTTGCTGGATTTTAATCAAAATGTTATAATAAGGACAGATGCACCAATTGGAGAGAGAGGGTTACGAGGATATTTTAAGTATGCTTATGACTACAACTCTCAAAAACGATTTAATAGATATTAAAATGAAAAAAGGCTATGACCCTACGTAGGGGCAAAGTATATCAGGGTTCCCAACAAGGCTACTCGACGTTAGTGTTGGAACTATTACTCCTTAAGACTTGATTTCAAGTAAATTCGACATTTAACATCAATAGTTGAATGTGTAAGCAGATGTAATAATGAAAACTGTCCTACAATGTACGACACTTATCTATCCCTCAAAGGTCACTTTGCCCTTTGGATAGCCCTATAAGCAGTAAGGGATATTTCCATTCCCCAGTAATTAATAGTAAAGGTATATGCATAGCTTTGTGGCATGATCCGTATTATACAAAGACATGATAGAGGTTTCCCAACCCAAGTTCGATATATTTATATGTACAGTACCGCACAAGTATTAAATCATTAAAGAATGCATTTGAGTAATCCTGGACAAAGAAATAAGTAGAGCGTTACATTATTTAAACCGTAGGCGTGTTAGGCTAGTTATTTTGTTGTAAGGTCGCGACACACGTTTACGTATACACACATCGCCAACGACGATCGATCATATACGTGTCCCTACTTGTATTACCAGTGTTATTGCTATTTATAGTACTGAATACAGAAAATGAAACCTAGGATCAATTACAGATTCGAGAGACGGGTATATGCAATATTGCTATAGGCATATAGATTCACTTTCCAAAGATGTACACCAATATATGTTATAAAATCAAAAATGTTTCTTTTTTGACATTTTAGTATTTGCAAGTCATTTCCGCGTTCACAAATCAGAGTTCATGTAGTATACAAATATTTACAAGCCAATTCGCCTATTAATCAACACACACATATATATATACACAAATATGTATATGCTGTACATCGGCATTATCAAATAAATGCACAAGCGTATGTAGTGAAAGCATACTTATCGGTGAATTGACGACTCCGGTCTTCTTGTAGTGACTATAGACAACTACCAAAGCCAGTTGGTACTCTATATTGTATACGGGTTCTATATATGAGTACCGTATCTATGGTTAACAGCAAACAGTGTGTTAGTCATCGACTGAAATAAGTATCCGCGGACTGCGTTCGTTACGGACTCGTATAGGGATAATCAATACTGTGTTGGTTCAATAGTATGAATAACACTACACGGAGCTATATATGTAGATTACAGGCGGACTGAAAGGTACAGTTTCTTCTTCTTCTTCTTCCTTTACAAGGATCAGACTCAGAGGTTTGAGCGCACTTGATCCTGGGAGGTGGCATTAAAAATGTTAAAAACAAATATTTTTGTTAATTTGTACTATAAGATAAAAACAGAAAACACTTTATGGAAGGTTGAAACTAGCCAGGGCAGACCTGAAAGAGTTCAGGTTTGGCTCCCGTGCTAGGGATGATGGTAGCGAATTCCAGTTAACAATAGTTCTAGGGAAGAATGAATATTTATACAAATTTGTTTGGGTTGATATTTGATTAATTCTGTGGGCCCCTCTGGTTCACCTGTCGCCTGATGTTATGAATTGGGATGGATCAATAGCCACATGTCCGTTTATTATTTTATATAACATTATGAGCCTGGCTTTTGCTCTTCGCTGGGCTATTGGCTCCCAGTTAAGAATATTTATCATGTTGGTGACACATCATGGCTACCTAGATCTATGATAATTAAATAAGTATCTGGCAGCCCTACGCTGTACATTTTCAATTGCTAGGACCTGGTCTGAAATAAAAGGGTCCCAGCAAGTGGCTGCATATTCTAGTGATGGTCTTACTAGTGTGGTGAATGTCAGGGTTTTGACTTTTCTGGTGCATGATGACATGTTGCGACGCAGAAATCCAAGTGTCCTATTTGCCTTGTTGGTGATGGATTGTATGTGTTTATCCCAATTTAGGTCTGAGGTGAAAGTGACCTCTAGGTATTTGAGTCTTATTTTTTTCAAAACGTGATTGTGCAGGGAGTAGCTAAACTTAATTGGATTTTTCTTTTTAGATATGTTGATGATAGATATTTTTTGGCGTTAAAATTCATTTGCCATTTACCCTCCCAGATTTCCAAGAATTTGAGGTCGTTTTCCAGTTTCTGACAGTCTTCTAATGAATTAATTTCTGTATATAATAAGCAGTCGCCAGCAAAGAGTTTGATGTCGCAGGAAACTGAGTCGATGATGTCATTGATGTAGACCAAAAAGAGAAGTGTGCCAACAACCGTTCCCTGAGGTACCCCGGATAGGACGGGGGCGGTATCAGAGCTGGTACCGTTAATTATTACTTTCTGTTGTCTGTTGTTCAGAAAAGAGGAAAACCAACCAGCAGTATCTGGATCTACCCCATAATATTCTAGTTTGGAAAGTAATCTTGAATGAGGGACTTTGTCGAATGCTTTCGAGAAATCTAAAAGGGCGACGTAAATTTGTTTATTTTTATCAAGGTTCCTTGGTAGTTTAAATAGTAATCCGATGGCCGATATCAGCCGTCACTTAGCTCGTATTTATGTAGGTAAAAGTAGTATGACAGCTTACTCGCAAGTGATACGAGTAACTGTATAGAAGTAAAAATATCATGGCAGATTACCCGCAAGTGATACGAGTAACTGTATAGAAGTAAAAAATAACATAACAGCTTACCCGCAAGTGATAAGAGTAACTGTATAGAAGTAAAAATAACATGACAACTTACTCGCAAGTGACACGAGCAATTGTATAAAGGTAAAATAATATGACAACTTACCCGCAAGTGATACGAGTAACTGTAAAGGTTAAATAACATGACAGCTTACCCGCAAGTGATACGAGCAATTGTATAAAGGTAAAATAACATGGCAGCTTACTCGCAAGTGATACTCGCATCACTTGCTAGTAACCTGTCATTTTACTTTTACTTTAGTACAATAACTCGTATCACTTGCGAGTAACATGTCATAAATATAGAACATATAGAGTATACATTATACTTATTTATAAATGTGCAAATAATGTTCCTGAAATAAGATATATTAGCGCATTTCTTTTTAAACTGTCAAACAAATACTGAATTCAACGAATAAATATGGTCCCTTTCTTATTCGTATCTAGTGCACACTGTGAGATAAATCTCCAGAAAGTAATTTTCGCCAGAGATGTACAATATCGTTGTGAGTTTTCTTCTGCGTAGGACACACAGAACATTGCCGCCGTATGTTGTTTACGGTGCAGGAAGCGTTATGCAACGAATATAAATACATGTCTTCTTCCATTGCTAGTAAAACCGATTTAAATGGGGGCATACAGGTATAATTAAAGAGTTACCATCGGAGCAAATCAAAGTACATGTAGCATTTTTATGTTTGAAAATGTAATAGGAGAGGAACTGCATGAAACCGGGACCCTCCGAACTAGAGCTACCTGGACCCAGCCCACATATAAGAACAGTCTAGATATATATTGTACATTGCTGTATCAAATAAATGCATAAGAATATGAGGTGGAAGCATACTTATCGGTGAATTGACGACTCCGGTCTTCTTGTAGTCACTATAGACAACTACCTAAATCTACAGCAAACACTGCGTGAGTCATCGACTGAAATAAATATTCGTGGAAAGCCTTTAATAGCATCTATAATAGCACTGAGGTCACAATTAAATGCTTCCGGGTTCAGTACCCCACGAATGAAGTCCCTTAGAAATATAGGTACTTCAGTAAAAACTATACAATGCCTTTTAGAACTTGGTGTATGTGTAAAAGTTTCGTGTTAAAATACTGTGGAGATATCAATCTAACAATTTCTGTGTCAAATTTTTATATTGTGCATTTAATTTTTGGTGCAGGTAGCTGTGTGAAAAGTCCTGTGTTTACCTCTACCCCTGACCGGGAAGTTTATTTTTGACATTGGTGACACATGCAGACGATTATCTCAAGAAAAAGGCCAACATGCTATGTTGAAATTTTGATATTTTACTCCCAAGATGTTGCTCTTGACCAGGTTAGATGGAAANGTCCACATGTATCTGTCAAAATGTCTAAGTCTGTAATACAGATAGGGATGCCACATAGACCCCTCCCCTCGGAGTATTGAAACCAAGAGTAGCCGTGACTCAGCCATGGGGCAATAAACCAAAATGCAGTCACACAGGCAAACTGAAGCCATGAAAAAAAATGTATATTACATTATCAGCAAACGGGCACCCTATCTATTATCAACTTATTAACTGAAGCTATACTTGGTGATTATAATGCTAATTTGTATATTCATCTAAAGACTCGTCCAATCACTCTTTTTAAAACATGCTATAAGAAGAAAAGAGGTATTCGAAGTCCCATATGATATTACTGTACGTCGAGAGCCAGGAAAGTATATGTATAGATATATAACATCAGGAACTTGAGCATATGTTACAGCTATATTGGACCTAAGCTCAAGTATTCAGAGTAATTTTACACGTTTAAGGGGTTTAGCTATTTTTTTCGAGAATAAGTATTCGCGGAAAGTGTTTGTTAATTCACGCTAGCGCTGTACCCACTACACATAACGCGAATAAAACAAAACTCCAGATTACGTGCCGGATTATTGCAAATACATATTTACAAAAGAATTTGACACAAGTTTTCACAACTTATCACAGTCCTTTTCTTCAAATACATGAATATAAACAATAACTTGACAAGGTAATTTACGCAATATATATAAATTATGTTTTTATATGGAAATAGAAAATAGAGAGGAAGAATAGACGGAGAGAGAAACGATGTAAAGGATAGTAACACTGGTAGAGTCGGAGAAAAAAGAGTGATAGAGAGAGAAAGATGATCACTTTCAGCCACTTTGCATTTGCTGATATAATTTTGAACAGATTTTGCAATTGAGGTATTTTCATCATTGCTGAATTTAGGATGATATTATACTCTGATATCATCATTTTTACAGAAAACTGATCTCAACCTTTAAAACGTGTAAAATTGCTCTGAACATCTTAATTTAGGTCCAAATTTAGATGTAACAAATTATCGGGTCCCTGTATACATACATACATATACATGTACAGTGCAGTACATTATATACAAATATTAAACCGTACATGTTTGTTCTTGGAAAGTGTAAACGGAAGTACCATCACGCACTTAGGAAGGAGGAAGATAATAGCACGGGATCTGACAGACAATTATCAATATAAATATATTACAGTACTTAATCGTATTCTGAATACTTGATTGACGTAAGCCCTACCATGCATCAAAAGATTTTATCTTAAGAGTTGAGTAAGTGCCGAGTCAAAGCAAACAACGGACACAAAACACCCGATAAAAGGGAACAAATATAGCGTCACGATGTGATTGAGAAAGATATTTTCGCCAGAGACGTTCAATATCGTTTTGAGCTTTCCTCTGCGTAATACACACACAGAACATTGCCGCCTTATAGCATGTTGTTTGCGAGCGGGAAGCGTACAATGCAACGAAAATATATTAGTTGTTACCAATTTAAACGGCTAAGAATACGCAGCTGGTGTTAAAAATACTAGTTTTCTTCCATTGGTCGTAAACCCGATTAATGGGGCAGCATAAAGGTATTATTAAAGAGTTATTCGATCCATGCAGGATAATTAAGTACCGTCTATGACCGATATCGTGATAGTTTTACATTAGCTATTAGGTCTAAAAAGTATGTATATATATAGGCGTTAATCTGCTCTTTTTGTCTTTGAGTAAAAGTAATTGTACTTTGTATGAAATATTGTGCATTTTCATACCGTTATATTCATTAAACATTTAATATTTATAATCATGTTAATTAAATTCGAGTGACGACGAAATTATTATTCTTTAATATTATTACAGATCAGAATCTATATGACGGGGAAACAAAACGTCGTGTTTCACATTTGAGCTGAAGTTTCCACGTTCCGATTTCCCCTTAATCATGAGCTTCTCACAGGCACGTAGTTGGGCATCCTCGATACTCCAGGGGTTATGCTCACTTTCGCTCTCTACACCCCTGGAATATGTCATGGCAAAATTGAAGACACGAAAATAGCTGTTTGATTGGTCTCTGGAAAAAAAATACTGACCAATCGCTAAGCTGACACCTGTCCATTGAAGATTACAAAAGAG